AGATACTGTCGAGTCATTTTTTAAACCTTATTTGGTGGGTTGGTTCTCATATTTCAATGGGGCAATTGCGTGACAAAAGATTATTATTTTTAAAAACGTGCTCTTATGAAGATTTTGAGTCCTCTCTCTCTGAAAGGAAGACTTGGTCAGGATTCTCAGTTTATGAGCTAAGCGCATATCCCCCCCCCCCCCCTGGTTAAAAAACAACAACCTAGTTCTACTTTCCTCTTTCCCCATCTTCCCTTCAATTCCCCTCAAACAATTTTTTTTAAAATACCTCCCCCCAAAAAAACAAAAACTTCCAGCACAGAAGAAGGAGGTTTGTTTTGTGTTGTTATTTTCACCTTGCTGTTTCTTTATCCATAAATTTTACGAGGCAGTAGAATATTGAGAGAAAATACCTCATAGAAGAGCCCTGAAGCAGAAGCAGCAGGATCAGGCCAAAGGAGGCCCATCTAGTCCAGCTTCCACTCCATCAAATGGCCAGTCAGAAGCCCACAGGCAGGACCTGAACACCATTATTATTATTATTATTATTATTATTATTATTATTATTATCATCATCATCATCATCATCATCATCATCATCTAATTTGCATTTAACACTGAAGACTTTCAGGAGACATCAAGAAAACACATTACAAAGATTTATTTCACCGTTTATTTCCCTCACATTGTACACACAATAGCATTCTCCCTCTTAGCAAATCCTGGGAACTATAGTTTGGTAAATGTAGTTCCACAAGGGGAAACTACCATTCCATCATTTTTTTCTCTCTCTTCTGGTGTGCGCAGGTACTTTAAAGGTATAGTGTACATGCAGATGTCGCCATAACTTACAGGATTTCAAAAACATGTCGACATACCCCTCCTGGCCTCCTTGAGATGTCAGCCTTGGCCTTTGGCCTTAGCCACTGGCATACATGGTGTGTGCCGTGCTTTAAAAGAGGATTAGGCAAATTCGCGGAGGAAGGGGCTATCGATGGCTACTAGCCACAATGGCTACGCTCTGCCTCCACAATCGGAGGCAATAAATGCTTCTGAATTCCAGTTGCTGGAAACCACAGGAAGGGAGAGTGCTCTCATGCTTGCAGTTTTCTCATTGCGGCATCTTGCTGGCCACTGTGAGAAGAGGATGCTGGACCAGATGGGCCATTGGGCATCTAGCAGGCTATTCTGATAAGGGCTGGGCGATATATCAATATATTGCCCAAAACTGGTTTGAAGTGGGAATTGTGGCAGTGGCAGCCTCAGTAGCCTGGAGCCAGCCTGTTAGCGCAGTTGGCTCTGGCTGGCTTCAGGCGCTGCTCACTGCCGTGGCGCCCGCCATTTTTCCTGCGTCACAGCAGTGAGAAGCTCCTGAAGCCAGCCAGAGCCAACTGCACTACCAGGCTGGCCCCTCCTGGGCAACGTCCACCCGCCTGTGACTCCCGAGCCTCCCCTGATCTGTCAAAACAGAGGGAGAAGGGGGAAGGAGATCAGGGAAGGCTCGGGAGTCACGGGCGGGAGGCGCACCGTTGCCCAGTTTTTAAAAAAAACTCTGCGCATTTATGTTTCACAGGATGCGAAAGAAGGGCTTTGCACCTTTATACAATATGCATGTTTGCTTGGGCCCAGGGTCTTTTGCCTCACCATCCCCACTACTGACTCCCTGTTGCTACTCAGCTTCAAAAGAAAGAAAGAAAGAAAGAAGAAAGAAAGAAAGAAAGAAAGAAGTGTCCCCAGATTTGTTGGGGGGAAACTGGTAACCATAACCTGGGCTCCTTGATGGAAGGGCAGCAACAAAGGCCAATCTTTGACTAGAGACAAGTTGGCTGCAAGTGATCGGCTGGTCCCTGCCAGCCTGTTGGGCACCACCAAAGAGTCCTTGGCAGTGGCCCAAACCCTTGGAGGAACATCCCCTCACTTGTCGGCCAAAGTCATCTTCAAGTAAGTTGACTCTGCCATCATTCCACTCTGCTTTCCACACCCCAGGCAAAGAGGGGCCCAGACTGGAACTCAACCTCGTGTTCGGTTTCAGCTAAATTTTTGCAGTTTACTGGAAAAGTTATGTCCTAATCAATGAGGCAGAAGGCTTTCCTGGAATCGGAGCTGCTTCCGCCTTCTTTTTGCATTTCAGGTGCTGCTGCTGGGGTTCACTTGCAAAGTGGGAAGTTTATGCAGCCTTCCCCAAGCAGGTGCCCTCCAGATGTTGTTGAACGACAACTTCCATCACCCAGTGTCATGGCCCATCATCCAGCCCGAGGTCCAGCGCCAAGGGCCTTCTGGCAGTTCCCTCGCTGTGAGAAGTGAGGTTACAGGGAACCAGGCAGAGGGCCTTCTCAGTAGTGGCACCTGCCCTGTGGAACGCCCTCCCAGCAATGTCAAGGCAATAAACAACTATTTTACTTTTAAAAGACAACTGTTTAGGGAAGTTTTTAATGTCTGACGCTGTATTGTTTTTAATATTCGGTTGGAAGCCGCCCAGAGTGGCTGGGGAAACCCAGCCAGATGGGCAGGGTATAAATAAATTATTATTATTATTATTATTATTATTATTATTGGCATGTGCCTTGGCTAGAGCTGATGTTGTAATGGGCTACAAGGGTGTCTGGAAGGCACCGGGTTGGGGGAAGCTGCTGTAACCTCTTTCGCTCCAACAGCGGGTCTAATTTGCAAACGCAAAAGCAGAGCTAATTGGTTAAATCAGGCAGCCTCCTGAGCTTAGCACAAGGAAAAAGGGATGAGTGTTGGCTGGAGAAGCCCGGAAAGTCCATAGCTCAGTGGCAGAGGACCTGTGCTCTGCAGGCAGAAACCCCAAGTTCCATCCCCAGTGGCACCTTAATGAGAAACTTAGTCTCAGGGTTGTGGGTTCGGGCCCCACATTGAACAAAAAGATTCCTGCATTGCAGGGGGTTGGACTAGATGACCCTTGCGGAGTAGTCCCTTCCAACTCTGCAATTCTATAATTTTATCTCCAGGCAGGGCTGGGGGAAAACTCCCTTTCTGAAACGCTGGATAGTCGCTGCCTATTAGTACAGTGGTAAAGGTAAAGGTACCCCTGCCCGTACGGGCCAGTCTTGACAGACTCTGGGGTTGTGCGCCAGACTCTGGGGTTGTGACACTTCCGGGTCACGTGGCCAGCGTGACAAGCTGCATCTGGCGAGCCAGCGCAGCACACGGAACGCCGTTTACCTTCCCGCTGGTAAGCGGTCCCTATTTATCTACCTGCACCCGGGGGTGCTTTCGAACTCCTAGGTTGGCAGGCGTTGGGACCGAGCAGCGGGAGCGCACCCTGCTGCGGGGATTCGAACCGCCGACCTTTTGATCAGCAAGCCCTAGGCGCTGAGGCTTTTACCCACAGCACCACCCGCGTCCCATAGTACAGTGGTACCTCGGGTTAAATACTTAATTCGTTCTGGAGGTCTGTACTTAACCTGAAACTGTTCTTAACCTGAAGCACCACTTTAGCTAATGGAGCCTCCTGCTGCTGCCGCGTCGCCGGAGCACGATTTCTGTTCTTATCCTGAAGCAAAGTTCTTAACCTGAAGCACTATTTCTGGGTTAGCGGAGTCTGTAACCTGAAGCGTATGTAACCCGAGGTACCACTGTATATACAAAGCTAGATGGAGCAATGTCCTGACTCAGGATACAGCAGTTTCCTATGGTATTTTTTTAATGAGTCAGTCCACGACACCTGCGGAGCAGCAGCAATCCTGCAGGATCGCTGGACCTAACTGGGGGGAAAGCCACCCATCTGCATGCCAGGAATCGAATATTGTGGCCCGTACCAGCGCCAGCAAACAGCCCCCGAGAGGAGGAAATCTGCCTAGGCCGGGGTGGGTCGCTGGATGGGGGAGCTTTGCCAGGACGGAGAAGGCAGGGAGCAGGTTGCTCCTGAAGCAGCTGCCGGCCACCCTTTCCCCTCCACCTGGCGGAGAAAGGCGAGAACTGCCAGGCTTTTCAAAAATCCCTTCAGTGGACAGTCCATGCCGGAGCTGGGTCCTCTTTGGGCAGTCCAGTGCGGGGCATCCCTCCCCACCTATCCGCCAGCGGGAGAGAAGGGGCCCGATCCAAGCGCAGGAGTGCCCCGTCCTTCTCACCACGGCGAAAAACGAGGCTTCCCAAGCGCGCCTCGCGGAGGTTTCTCACGCACCGCCCTAGGCAACGCTGTTTGCACAAATTGCTAACTTCCATTTTCATGAACGGGTTTACTGTAGAAGTTTTGTGTACTGCACACAACTTTTCCCCCCGTCGGTCATATGTTTACAGACGTCAGCATCCTTTAAAAATTGTGAGGTGCATAAATGAGGATCTGTCTTGACTGTTGTAACATGTAACAGCACTGAAAGAAACACAAGCACAAAGTCCAGTCTTCTTTGAGCTCAATGGAGCTGGTGCACAACGGACACTTTAAGGGCCTTTTAAAATTAAAGTTATCTTTAAAAGTTATCTTTAAAATTAAAGTTATCTTTAAAATTAAAGTTATCTAAAAAGGTGAGGTTCTGGACATTAGCACACCTCAAATAGGTGCTGACAAGGGGTGCGAGGCATCCCAAAGGGAGGGGGTGGAGAGAGAAGAGAACCCTGTGTCAAAGATGTCGAAGCAAGGGGACCTCACAAGGTATACCATCAAAAGCCCTGAATAACAGGATCAAGACAGACAGCACAAATCATTTTGAACCATCTTGTGAATTTGTGATGTTAAAATTGAAATCTGATGTTAAGAATTTAAATCTCTTAAAAGGTTCAGTTTCAGAATCTTCCCCCCCCCCCTTTGCAAATTTTGCCACCTATTCCTTCAGGCTACGTGCTGATGCTTGGGCACGTTCAATAGATCTAGTTGCCTCTTGGACTGTCTGTGTGAAACTGATAAGAGGAGCAGAGCGAAAAGAGACAGGGGGCGGGGACAGTTCCGACCCGGAAACTAGGCGTTGCGCGTGCCACTCTACCCTGTAAGAAGTCTAGGAGCTCGTTCCCGGCGCGCGGGTCTGTCGCGCTGCGTCACTTTAGTGCACCCGCGGCGGTAGTCCCTAAGGGGAGGGGCGTGCTGGGGCGTTGGTGACGCGTTTGACCTGCGCCCTGCCTGGCGGCGGACAGAGCGGAGAGGCGGTGGGATTGAAATGCCGGAGGCGGGAGGAGGTGAGCGGCGGCGGCGGTGGGTGGCCTCGTTGAGGAGGCGGAGGAGAGGCCCGGCACGTTGTCACAAAAGCCATGCGAGGCAGGCCCTGAGCTGCCTCTTCTTCTGGTTAGGGTTACTCGGGAGAAAGTCCCGCCGTGGCCCAGAGAGGCTCAAGTCCCTTCGGTCGGCGCAGGCTGAGCAGCCTCACCGCCTCCCTCCTGGCGGGCTTCGCGCCCTGGAGGCCTCTCCGCGCCTAAGGCGGCGGCTAAACGGCAGAAAGTCTTTCGAAAGTGGTGTTTGCTTACTTGAGATATTTATATGCTGCTGTTTGCATTTTTTTGGCTTAAGGGCTAGGACATGAATGCCATCAGAGCAGCTTACAAAAATCAGTACTGCGTTAAGAAGCTGCTTGCTTGCAATATATATATATTGCCACTAAGCAGCTTCTTAATACATACACACACACACACACACAGATACATATACATACACACATATATATACTATATACACACACCCCAGACATACCATACGAGGGAAAAGGAATGTGAGGGAGAAGGTGGCGAGAGGTAAGCTCAAGCACAAGGTTTTAAAAACTGCAGCCACCACTAGTGGTGTTTCAGGCTGCCTTGCTTTCGCTAACGAGTAGCCACTCTTGTGAAGCACCCCACCTCCAGTGTTAGAAACTGATTTATGAAAGCTAGGAGCTAAACAGCACCTTAAACCTAGGTTACGAGTGCAACAACAGAATGTTTAGGTGCTTTTTAAAAAAATAACAATTAAAGGTAAAGGTACCCCTGCCCGTACGGGCCAGTTTTGACAGACTCTAGGGTTGTGCGCCCATCTCACTCAAGAGGCCGGGGGCCAGCGCTTTCCGCAGACACTTCCGGGTCACGTGGCCAGCGTGACATCGCTGCTCTGGCGAGCCAGAGCCGCACACGGAAACGCCGTTTACCTTCCCGCTAGTAAGCGGTCCCTATTTATCTACTTGCACCCAGGGGTGCTTTCGAACTGCTAGGTTGGCAGGCGCTGGGACCGAGCAACGGGAGCGCACCCCGCCGTGGGGATTTGAACCGCCGACCTTTCGATCGGCAAGCCCTAGGTGCTGAGGTTTAACCCACAGCGCCACCCGCGTCCCTACCAAAAAAACAAAACAATACAAAGCTGCAAATGAATGAACTGCAGCTGAAATCTTATGTTCATTTTTCACATGCTCTAGTCCTCATCTGAAGACTGCAAAAAACAAACAAACCCAAAGCCATGCTCCTCCCCACCACCAGTATTCTAATGAGGGTATTTTCTCCAGTCTTCAGAGAGTGGCTGGAAGTGGGGAGGTAGAGAAAGGTCCTCCTTTCCTTCCACTGCAGTTTTAATCTGAAATCATAGGTGCAGCACTGTGCCCAGACCTTGGAAGCTGCTCACGCTAATGAAATTCCTTGTCACAAAATGCACCTAGAACAATGGGAGTCTCAAACGCTGCCCACCTTGTCAGATCCAAGTGCAGGTGGCAACATCCAGGGCAGTGCCTGCCACACACACTTCCTTTCAGACAGGGTAACTTGTTGGCAGTCAGAATCCTCACAGGAGGGGCTTTGATGGCATCACTGTTTGAGCCACCCCAGAGCACTCTTCTCTCTCACACACACCCAGTTACATCCAGGAGCAGAGCTGGTGATAACATTCAGGTCAGGAGGCTGAGGCATCTCCAGCTATGCATCATATAATAAATGGTATCAACCAACAAGGCTGAGGTCCCAGTTTGAGGCCTTTCTTTCTCTCCTCTTGGCAGCTTGCTGAAATGACACCACCATTTGGCCATATCCGAGGCACGGAGATGACTGCCCATCACTTTCCTCAGCACAGTTACCTCTTGGTAAGTAAGAGGCTTTCAGAGCAGTTGATCTCTGTGTTGTTTTGACTTGAGTTTCAGAGCTGCTTTTGCATATTGGAAGGGTGGAGACCTGGGAAAGGGGCTCCTCCTGCTGGTTCTTGGCAAACTCATATCGGTATTGTGGGTAGACCAGGGCCTGGGTTCTTCACATCTCAATTTGATCAGGTTGGGAATGACCTGCTCACAAGTGACTGATCAAGGGTTCTTTGCTTTGTCTGAGGTAGATTTATTTTCTCTTCTGTTTAAAACAGGATAGCTTAAAGGCTGACTGTCTGAACAAGCCTTTCACCCAGAGGTGCCATGATCTGGTGACTGTCATTGAAGATTTTCCTGCCAAGGTAGAAGGCTCATTACTTGTTCAGGCCTATAATATTTCCTTGTTGTTCTGCTTTGGAATGTATTGACCTTCTCTGATAAAATATATATGTTGTCAGGGTAGGGCAGACTGCCCTGTTCACTCCTGCCTAATGGAGAGAAAACATGAAAGAACCCAGAGCAACCTCACGTGTAAATGCAGACACAACTACAAATCAAATTGACAAACTGAAATAGAGAGGAACTGACTTGAGGAATTCACTTCCATTTTGCTGGTGTCTGCTTGTCAGGTTTTGTCCAGTATTTCCACTAACTGTCAGTCTTGGGTCTCCTGGGAATAGTAAATTTGGCACAGATTGGTTTCTAGACAGAAAATGCCTTCTGTGGTTTGGAGCCCCTGGGGAGTCTTTGAGTCAAACAATGTATATCTTTGTTTTGAGCTTTTCTGTTTCTCTTCCCTTGGAAGGAACTTCATGCCATCTTTCCCTGGCTGGTGGAGAGCATCTTTGGCAGCTTAGATGGCATTATTTTAGGTTGGAACCTCCGTTGTTTACAAGGAAGGGCAAACCCGACTGAGTACAACATTGCCTTGGACTTTCTTGATGCTGGGTAAACCTCTTTATTCAGGAGGGCGGTGGGAAGAGCTCTGGTGTGGTTCCAAGGGTTACCCCCTATCCTTCTGAATGTTTTCTCTCTTGCTGCTTTTTTTTGGTAGAGGCCCAATGATGAAGTTGGTTTACAAGCTCCAAGCTGAAGAGTACAGATACGATTTCTCTGTCTCCTACCTTCCTGTAAGTATCTGGGAAAGGAGGTGATAAGATCCACACTACCACTTTGAATCCAGGATAAAATAGGCAGTTTAAGTTCCTAATCCTTTATATGGAAGTCCCACTGATTTCATATGAACATGTTGAGATTAAAATGGTAAGTTTGAAACCTTTTCCGCTCTCTGCGGCGCACAGATTCTGCCTGTTCCTCAGCTTGCTGAGCAGTGGGAGCTGAAGCCTTAAACTCTTGAGCTACAACAGAGCAGAAGGGGGAGGTTTAGGGCTCCAGAAGTGGTTGTTGGCTTTCCACACCCCAGATCTCAGGGGGGCAAATGTTTGCGCACCTTAAGGGCTGTTTCAGTCGTAAGGTCTGTATTTTGTGTCTTAATTATGCCATTGTTCTTTTCAGGGCCCAGTGAAAGCCTCAATACAAGAGCGGATTTTACCAGAATGTTCTTTGTACCACAACAAAGTCCAGTTTCCTCCATCTGGAGGCCTGAGCTTGAACTTGGCCCTTAGTATCCTTTGGACAATAAGCCCAGAATGGTTTCTCTTCATGTTGTGTATATGTTTGGGGTGGTGCACAAATCATGCAGTAGTTCAGTGATGCCAAACAGTTGGTGGTGAGAGGGAGACCATTCTGATTCTTGCAGCTTTCCAGGCTGATTTCTTTGCCCTCCGCTTAGCAAGGCCCTGGATGGAAGTTGTGTTCCCTCTCCCAAATTACATGAGAAGGGGCCAGCGGCTGCACATTCCACCCAAACTGTTCAAAACTGCTTGCCACACAAGCTGCTCCAAGGCGATTGCATATGAGTGGCTCCTCCAGGTGAAGATAAATTGCATGGAAAGCCCATGCTCTGCCAGCTCTTAGAAGCTTGGGGAACAAGCGGATTGTTACACTCCCACCAGTTTCCCCACTATTGTGGAGGGAAGTCATTTTGGTTCTTTGCATGGCTGCAGCCTGCAAACTCTGATCTTTCTCAGCGTCTATCTTGGATTTCTCCCTTAGATGTTTTTCCTTCTGTTTTAGGTGCATGTTTAAGTGTCTTGCCATGTTGATAAGGTGTTTAACAAGAAGGGGCACTCCCACCTTCACACCCAAATCCTGAGAATAGAATAAAACACTGACTATAGACACTTCGTTGGATAGTCTTGAATAGCCAAGACTTGATGCTTCTTCATGTTTTCTGTTGGACTTTATCCTTGACTCTGCTGCCAGATCCCTTTGAATATTACATGTTCTACTTTGCATTAAGCCTGATTACACCAAAGGTAAAGAAAAAGGCAGCTGCTTCTTTCACAATGCACTGCCTACTGTTTGCTATGCAAATGAGATGAGAAGTTGCAGCATAGTTTCATGCCTCTTGTGGTTTATCCCTTGTTGATACACCTCTCCCTCCCCCTCCACACTTGCCATGATGTTTGGTGGTGTAAAGTCAATATTTGTATAAATAGCTTCTTAAAGTGCTTGAAATACTCTGCCTGTGGTCTTTCCCTTGGCACTAAAGTGTGCTTAACCGTTTCTGCTTGTCACCTGAATGCTTTGCACTAAGAAGAGAGTGGCAGGGGTGTAGGGTTGCTAAACTAGTGGGGAGAGGGGGGCTGAGCCCTGCAGAATTGCCCCTTCCTAGCAGGTCCTCACTGCCTCTGTTGTTGAACTCTCACTCTAGCATGTTGTGTACCAGGCTGGTTTCTCACAAAACGGCAGAGAGGGTGGTAAAATCGGCATGGACCATGCCAGGCTGTTGGTGGGGGCTACCGTCATAGAGGACTGCTCCTCCAGAGGAAAACAGAAGAGGAGCCGGGCATAGTGTGATAGATAGAAAATTATGCTTTTGAGTAGCTTGAATTTTTTAGGCTTACCCATAAAGTTTTCTATTTGAGTTGATACCACAAGAGGAATGACTTGGGATTCTCTCTCTCCTTCTCTGTGTTTCAGAACATCTCCACGGCCTATCATATCAGCATGTCCAACAGTGCTTACTTTGTCCTAGTGGATCGGTACTTGAAGTGGTTCCTGCCCACAGAAGGGATTGTTCTTCCACCCCCCTCCTCTTCCGATGCAGGAGGGGCTGTCCCATCACCTGCTCCCCGGTGAGTACTTGTCCTAGTTTTCCAGATTACAGGTTCATGGTGTACAAAGATAGTAGCAGGAGTCATCTCTATATCCCAGCCAACAATATAGCTCTGCTCTTGCAATGAAGATTTGAGTAGCTGAATTCTAAATTTCCATCCGAAATGGAGACTAAACCCAATTTTGGGGAGGGAAAAAAAATAAAAAATGCTGTTCTACACTGATGGAGGCCATGGTGCAGATTTTCCCCTGCTCCACTTTGTCCTTAGGCCCAACCCTGACTACTATCCTGTTTGGGTGACCCTTTTGGGGGTTTTTTAACTTGTGTCTTTTCTTTCTCCTCCCGTCTAGATCTCCTGCAATGTCGTTCAGCTCCTACGGGATGCATCCAACAAGCCTTCTAAAAAGACATGTTGCTCACCAGACTTCGGTGAATGCAGACCCTGCTTCCCAGGAGATCTGGAGATCGGAAACCATGCTTCAGGTGTGTCCAGGAGGGAAGGAGGCTGTGGTGCGGCGGCTGCTCTGCCTGGCTGTTGCTGCAAGCACTTTGGGGATATTGCGTTAGCTCAGCAGGGTGGGGGAACAGGCAATTGTGGAATACCAGGCCTACTTCTGGGCGGGGAACTGGGGAAACACACCTTTAAGAAAAAGAAGTGTTTGCTTTGCCTGTAGGAGAGGGGGAGCCTGTCTCCCTCCCAAGTGTTGCTGGGTTACAGCTCCCCATCTCCATCACCTTTGGACATGTGGGCTGCTGGGAGTTAGAATCCAACAATATCTGGAAGGTTACAGAGGTGTATCTGATTAAATTGTTTTTTCTGAGGGGTTCAAAGGATCAAAAAGAGTTTTAGGGGTGGGCCTTCATTGCAGCTACGTGCCTTTTAGTACCTTTCTGCTGTTTCCCTGCCCCTGCCCCAGAATCCCAAGCTCTGTAGATCCCTAATCTGGGGGGGAAACAAGTCAGCTAGCACAAACGTACCTGACCACTTGGTTTCTTGAACTTGCCACATCCAACACTGAGCTATGTCTTGAAACAGCTTCAGACCAGACCCCAGGAGCAGAAATCACTCCAAAGGCTGGCTCTGGCTACTGCTGTAGTAGGTTCTTTGGTCCTATTCAGGCAGATGAACAAGTTCTTCTCTTCCTAGGTTTTTGTTGAAATGTGGCTCCATCATTACTCCCTGGACATGTACCAGAAAATGCAGTCCCCTCACATCAAGGTAAGGGCCTGAGCTTGGGCATCTCTTGCTTGCTGGCCTGCCAGTTTGAGGGACTGCAGGGAAATGCAACTGCTGCTGCCTAGCTCTGTTCTCTGCTTAATGACAAGAGCTGCTGAGTGAGGAGAGGCTGTTGGCACTTAAATAAAAGCAAGCTGGGGTTGAAATGGGTTTCTTTGATACATCAGCACTCGAGAGAGGAGTTCCAGCCAGTGGAGAAAAGCTTTGCTTTATATCAAAGCTGAGGGAAGCTCGATTCCCGCAGATGCCGCTTGCATGTCTTGGAATGTCTGTGTTGTTCGAGTTAGAAATAGTTAAAACTGCCTGAGAGGAAAGACATGAATTTGGTAGGCAGTTTTTGGCAGGCCCTAATTATGATGCTAGGGAAAGGCAAACATTGCTCTCCAGTGCAACTTTTTATTGAATTTTTGTTGTTTACAAAAACATGAAGACACTGAAAAAACAGATAAGTAACAAAGAAAAAAGGGGGGGAGCAATACAGAGTTGCAGAATGAAATAACAACAGCAAACCAGTATACCAAGTAACAATCATACTTCACTGAATATCAGATGGTATTTAAACATTGGTGGACCTCTGTGGGTGAAGGTTCTCTGTCTGCAGGCTGGGAGCTGTAAAGGGTCATCCCTAAACCTTAGCTTTTTTTGCTTGAGGGATTTATGTGGAACTTGATAATGTTTACTGTGGTTGTTGCAAGAACTCAGTAGGTCAGGGGTCAGCAAAGTTTTTCAGCAGGGGGCCGGTCCACTGTCCCTCAGACCTTGTGGGGGTCCGGACTATATTTTGGGGGGAAATATGAACAAATTCCTATGCCCCACGAATAACCCAGAGATGCATTTTAAATAAAAGCACACATTCTACTTCATGTAAAAGCACCAGGCAGGCCCCACCAAACCCGGAGATGCATTTTAAATAAAAGGGCACATTCTACTCCTCTAAAAACACATCCACGGACCAGATTTAAAAGGCGATTGTGCCGGATCCGGCCCCTGGCCTTAGTTTGCCTACTCATGGTTTAGTATTACTCTAATGCTAATCTGGAATCTCTTGCATAGAGAACCTGGGGCAGATTGGGGATTCTTCTGGTACACCACCCACCCACCCACCTCCCTGCCTGAGTTGATAGAGACCATCTCTGATTTCGTATTGGGATAGTTTCAACTTCCGTGGTAGTTCAGGACTTCGTGGCAGCCATGGGGGCTGCCCCAGCATATCTTCGCCCCAACATGGATATCAGCAGGACACACCCTTGATCAGGCAGAGGGATGGTAGTCTTGAGTGTAAGAGAATCAACATCTTTCCTCTTGTTGTGGTTGGATCATTTCCCATTGAGGTGTGGACTTTCTGCTCTGCAAGTGTGGGGAGACCTGGAGGTGAATGGATTCGTATTCCAGAGGCCTTAGGTGGATGTTTCTGCTGGTGTGCCTGGATCTCAGGAGAGCCTGGCTGTGGGATGCTGAGCTCTTCTTCTCCCAGGTGGCCAAAATGGGGATGCAGTTTCTTATGCAAGAAAGGACCTCTATGATGGTGGCTCTCCAGTCACGGAATGCTCTCTTGGGAAAGAGATGCTCACATGTCCCCTGACATGCAGACTTGTCAGAACTAGGTGAAGAACTTTCTGTTTTTCCAGGATTTCCAGTTTCCTTTTTTAAACCCAAGTTTTAGTCCTTTGTAGGTACTTGGTTTCTTTATCGCAGGTTTTATTCTGGTGGTATTTTAAAATTTGTTTCTGATTTTATGTGCTATGCTTTGCATTTTCCTTTCTGTATTTCACCCAGAGAATTTTTTCTTCCACTAGTGGTGTAAAAATGTTGCAGTAAATAAAAACACCCTTGTATTGCCAGCGGTGGGGTGGGGTCTGAGGGCTTGCTTTAGTTAGGATTTGAACTGAAAACGTTACACTTTCCTTTCTGAATGCGGTGGCATCAGCTCTTGCTTAATTTTACTGCATTTCTAGACACACACATACACACATCCTTCACCCTAAAGTCTTGGGAATATATGTGAGTAAAATCACTTAAAAAGTAAAGCCACCAGCCCCAAACAGTCACATGTTAATCAACAGCACCTGTCATCTGCTGAAGCCCGTACGCTTGGCAGTTCTCAGCAAAGTATTTCTGAGTGTGCCTGACATTGTATACAGTTAACTCCACTTCTTCTTTCCTCGAAAATGCCCGTCTTTCCTTTCCTCCCCCAGTCTCATGCTCACTTGCCATCCTGTTTGTGTTTCTCCACATGCTGTTGCAGGGAGGGAGGCTCATGGCATCATTGTTGGTTGTATGTATTCTGTTTGCATCCCATATTTTAATATCTGTGACAGTTTCTAGCGCCAGCTGCTACTGCGCTGCATTTCTAAATTTGAGAGTCCAGGGCCAGAGAGCCAGGAAAAGCAGGGTCTGGGGATCGGCCTACTTAGATCCAGATTTGCCATGTATACAGTCTTGGGGCTGCATACATGCACTTTGTTTTGGCTTTCACTCTCATGTGGCAAAAACGGCCTTCCCTCTCTCCACCCTCCCCCAACTGATCAGCTTTGGAGGCTGACTTGAATATTTTCTCTTAATGTTTTCATATGGAACCATGAGTTCCAGGCCCACAGTTGCATATTCCGCAGTGCAGGCAGAGTGGATGTTTGCATTGGAGACTTTGCTCCCTGTGGCTTGAAATCCTTGGTGTTTGTTTACCAGGCTACGTGCCCTTGATTTGTTGCATCCTCACCTGCAGCTGATTTGCCTCTTCTTTGGCTTGGCCTGGCCTGGTGTACCCTTGATCAGATTAGCGCACACCCAGCACAAGGTGCAGGTGCAGGACTCCTTGTGTGGCTGCTTTGCCAGGGCCCAGTGGCGTTTGTTTGTGGACACACACACAGAAGGCCACAAACACTATGCAAAAGCTGATTGGAAAAGTCCTAGTAAATCTTGATGCTCATAACTGTGACTTGGGTTTCCCAGAATCCATTTGCTGACGTTAAATTCTAACTGTTGCTGCAAAGTCTCGAACCACCTCCACAGTTCCAGGAGCCAAAATGTGTGTAAGAACTGCCTTGCTGGTTAGAGAGAAGTCCCAGCTTCTCTCCAGTTTTGCCATTTTGAGCCCACACTTCTGATAAGCCCACGATCCAGGAGCCCCCAGCCCTTCCTGCCTAATACCTCTCTGCTGTCCCTCGCTGCCAAAACACCTTGGCGTTTGGGTTGCAGAGAAGAGCTTGCAGCCTGAAAATGTTTGCGCAACAGAGAAAAGGGGGGTCAGACTTTGCTTGAGGCTATTTTGCGCCAAGGATGTGTTGCTGCTGTTGTGTGTCCCTCTTCACATTGGCTGCATTTGTCATTCATTTGTGACTCATTCTTGGGTTTTGCTTTTTGTTTTTTTCCTTGTCCCCCCTTCTTCCTGGGCTCATTCTCACTGGTTGTTTTTCCCCCTGTTTCTTTCCATTTTTGTGTTTGCCTCTTCTACCCCTCCTGCCCCCCTCCTTTTGTGTTGTGTCTCTCAGCTGGAGGTTCTCCAGTACCGGCTCAGTATCTCCAGTGCCCACCGCAGTAATCCTGCCCAATCCAGCTTCCAGGCCCTCCACACATACCAAGTATTTTCAGTTTTCTTTTCTTTCTTTCTCCCTCCCCGCCATTTCATTTTATTTGTCTAAAAATTAAAAAGAAAAGATCCTTCCTGCAGTTTGCAGTGTGGTGTGGGCAGACATTGGGGGTGTGGAAAAGTACATTCTGTGGGGCTGCTGTTGTAAAGAGGATTTTGAGAGTGACGTGGGCTTGCTCCTGTGCGCCTATTATTTCCCAGGGAGCACAGAAAACAATGCCAAGTCCAGGTTATGGATTTTCCCAAAGCTCGCTCATTCTCCCACTTCCTTACCCTAGGCAGCAACAACCTCCTGCGATGCTCCACCCACACAAGGAGGGGGAAATGTATCGGGCTTCTCCTTTCTATGGAGTTGCCAGAGTCTGGTGACTTTGAGTGTGTCAGAAGCTGCCACAGCATTGCTAGGAAAGGAACATGTCCAGTTAGATCAGCTGGTCACGAGCTTAAGTGCAAAAGCCATTTAGCTAGCAGCTTCTACTCTCTTAACTCCATTGGGTGATAACTGCAGAGAAGAGATGAAGCCTTTTAAGGCTCAGCCTAGCTTAGAACCGGTGGGGAACCTATGGAGAACCTCCAGACTGCCTACCAGGTCCATCCTCCCTGACCATTGGCCACATGGACTGCTGGGAATCTCGGCAATATCTGGAGGGTTATAGATGCTGCCCATCCCTGGATTAGGAAGAGCACCGGGGTCTGCTTGCAAGTCTTGATGAAAGGAGAGGTTTGGAGCACCCCTTTGCCACAGACGTTTGCTTTGCTAACTGGGCTGTGTGCTGCTTTCTCACCTTGCTCCTGTCGATGAAAGAGGAGCTTGGGGACAGCATTGGTCCTGCCTTGATTAAGTGTGTATGTGGGTGTCTTTTTAATAAAAACACATACAGACATCATCATAATCTGCTTCCAGTTAAGAGCAGCTGCACAGGGCTAAAAACCCCATAGACAGCTTGAAAGGACTCATTTGGGGGACTGCATTTTTGCAGATCGTAAAGGAAATGTGCATGCACAGATCATGGCTGCTGGGATTGGTTCTTTGTTTTCCTTCATCCCTTCAATTCCTTGGTGGTAACGGGGGCCAGTCAAAAAGGCATTGTGTGTGGTGTTCAGCTGTGAAGATCCTGCCTTTATATTATTTTCAAGAGCAGCTTTCTAGTCTTCAGGATTTAAAAAGTGGTTACAGCATCATCTTAGATGCTGGGAATTATTAGGAGTTTGCTCTGTTAGGATCACCTTGTGAATCTCCTCCCCAAAGGTGAGATTTTTGGTGCATTAACTCCCATCCCACTGCCTCCTATAAAATGGGCCTCTTAACCAGAATTGTGGAGCAACCAGAAAAAGTGTTCTACACCTCAGGGTTTAAGGTAATAACAATAAGGTAATAAAGACTAGGCCCTAGGTGCATGGCTACACCTTGTCCACAGTCATACCAAATATTTTGAGAGTGGAGAAAAATCTTGATCAGCTGGGATTCTCAGTTTAAGCATAGCAAAGCGGTTTCCCCCTCACTGGAGGGGGAAACATTTAGTTTTTGCAATATTGCTGCCCTGCAAATCCTGTTGTTTGCCATTGTGACTGGGGCTGATGGAGGTCGGAAGTCCAGCCACATTTGGCAGAGCTATTCCAAGGCATTTTGCTTCCTAAACTGGAGCAGCAAAGGGGAAGTGCATAGTATGCCACTGCCAGTTCGGACTTCATGAGCTTATTGGTGGAACTGGGGTGTGTGGGTGTTTTTTTTTTAACCCCGATATGTGCATCGCTTAATGCTGCTTACATTGAATTGCACTTGTCATCCAACTGCCCATTCACCTAGTTTGGAGATATCATTTTGGAGCTCCTAATGATTCCTTTTTGTTTTAACCACCCTGAACAATTCGGTATCACGAACAAACCTTGCTTCCTCACTACTTACCCCTAAACTCCATAGGTGTTTTATGAACAAGTTAAAAAGTACCTGTCCTCCTTTAGGGACCCTGTTTCTTTCATTCCGCCATTGGGAGAACTGTCTTAATTCGTTCCCAGTCTCTGCTTTCTGTTCCTTAACCTTTCCACAGTCCACTAGGCCGCAGTGTTTTCCCAACCTTGGGCCTCCAGCTGTTTTTGGACTACAACTCCCATCATCCCTAGCTAGCAAGACCAGTGTCAGGGATGATGGGAATTGTAGTTCAAAACAGCTGGAGGCCCAAGGTTGGGGAAACACTGCACTAGGGGATCCTTTCTCTTATCCCCTGATTGCAAAGCTTCACTTGGCAACATTTGGCTGGTGGGTGGATGTTGTGCTTGTGCTTTCTGCGAGGTGAGCGGTGGCAGTGGATGCCCTGAGTGTGGTCAGGAAGGCAAAGTACTTTGAGCCACTTTGTGAACAGCCCTGGGCAACTTAGTCAGAACTGTACTGGAATGAGTTGCTCACGCTCTTCTCAGCAGTAGGCGAAATTACCTTCCTACATTCAGGATGGAAGTGTGGGACACACTTCACTTCTGCAATTTGGTTGGCCAGGAACTAAACTAAAGGGTCTGCGGACACCTCTTTGCTCTGCTCTGTAGCGCTTCAGCTCTCTTTGCCCTTTCTCTCTACCCCCTCCTCCCTCCTGGCCTTCCTTTCTGGCAGGGAGAGGACTTACTCCTTTTTCCTCTTCTCCTACTCCTCTTCCTCTTGCTTCTGCTTCCGATCCAGGAGTCGTTTAAGCCGACGGAGGAGCACGTCTTGGTCATCCGGCTACTCGTGAAGCACCTCCATGCTTTCAGCAACAGCCTGAAGCCGGATCCTGTTTCTCCTTCTGGGCATTCCCACACTGCCAGCCCACTGGAGGAATTCAAGAGGTAGGTTTGTTCTAGGCTTGTTCAGGTCAGCACCCTGTGCATCAGGGAGTAAACGTGCAGGAGAGGGCCAGCTCTCATGATTTTTCTGTTCCATGAATCGTATCTCTGTTCCCTGAAGAAGAGAATGGAATAAAAATCACAGATTCCCTCTCTGGCATAAACCAAGAAACTAAGCACATTTCACAGCCTCCATGCATAGAGCATGCATAGAGTTGACATCTCCTGTATGGTACATTGAGCTGGAGAAGCCTCTCTGTTTCCATACCCAAATGTTATTCTTGCCTCCTGCTTTGCTTATCTTGGGGGGACCTCTCTTGTGTTTGCAGGATTGTGATTCCCCGGTTTGTTCAGCAAAAACTCTACATATTTCTGCAGCACTGCTTTGGTCACTGGCCCTTGGATGCTTCATTCAGAGCTGTAAGTACCTCCGTTGAATGTTCTGCTTTGTGTGGACTGTGCTGAACAGAGGAGAGTGTTAGGGCCAATTTTTCCCAGCATGCAGATTTATATATTTTTTTCCATTCAATGTGATCATCAAACATGTGAGTGCAGCATGATTTGCAGATTGTGACCTCTGATGCAGAGTGGTTTATTCTTGTAAATTTTGGGAATGTGGCCTTTTTTTAAAAAAGCAGGATCAGGTTTCTAGTCCTCATAAAGCAAAGGAAAAAGCATGAAAATGTCACAATCTTTTTGCCAAAGGCTTAGAAAGCCAATAGGTGTCTGGGCTGGCATCCCAGTGGATTAGCATCACCTGGAATTTGTCTGTTGTTGTTTTTATAAAAAGGCCAACCTTGGTTTTCGAAACTGTTTTGCACCTGCACCTCATCACAAGTGCTAAGGGCTGCATGGATAGCATAGGTAAGTCGGCACAGATTGACAAGGAAGCTTTTTTGTGCTAGCCAAAAGACCCGCTCATCACCACCAGCACAGACTTTTCACTTCTGACTCTGTCATCTCTGTGTGTGTTGAGTGGTTGGGAAAGCCAGTAGGACAAGGCTGCTATCCAAATCTTCACAAAGTCCACAAGTTCAGGGGAACTAGTTGCTGAACACAACTGTTCAGTGAAACCAACTGTAATGAAAAACTAAACTTCTTGTCGCAGGTACTGGAGATGTGGCTGAGCTACTTGCAGCCTTGGAGATATGCGCCTGAGAAGCCCCTTCCGAGTGCCGAGTTGTCCCTGCCTCGCAGTGTGCCAGAGAAATGGTGAGTGTTAGGATGGTCTGAGTCACTGCAGATGGAGGAGAAACTCACCAGTTCCTGCAGTAAGCAGGTTGAGAGCCGTGTATGATGGTTCCAGGCCAGCCTTCCCCAACCTGGTGCCCCTCCAAATGCTTTGGAATACAAAAGGTCTGATCTGGGCAGTGACCCTTTGCTACTGGTGGCCACTTGTGTCCCTGTTTTGACTTGTGGGTGACTGCAGTGGTTGTGGGTGCCCACGTGGAGAAGCTTTGCTGTATCAGACTTGTCCCCGATTCCTGCTCTGCCCTTGTTAGTGAAGGTCATTGTCATGGAAGTAAGAAGAGAACCTGTCACCAAAGTGAGGAGGCTTCCTAAGCCTCGTCTCCTTAAATTCTTGCCTGCTTGGATTGCACATTCTCCCAATTTGGAGGTGCTCACAGCATAATCCTGCAGGCCCACCTTACTCAGTGGCAGGGAAAGGGCAGTCCTCTTGCCAGCTACGTAATATGTCCCTTTGTGTTCTCTTAAAAGGGCCTCTTTTGTTCAGGAGAACTTGTTGATGTACACCAAGCTCTTTGTCAGCTTCCTGAACCGAGCTCTCCGCACCGACTTGGTCAGCCCCAAGAATGCCCTGATGGTCTTCAGGGTGGCCAAAGTTTTCGCTCAGCCCAACCTTGCAGAAATGATCCAGAAAGGTAAAACAGAGCGCACGAGAAACCTGCCCCCTTTCTGTCTGCCTCAGCAAGCTGCCTGTTGCTTTTCCCTTTGGCAAATAGGAAAAGCCGTCAGGGTGGATGAGGTGAGAAATCTGGCTGGCTTGGTTGCTTGTCTAAATCCCTTCCGAAAAGCTCCTGGTGTGAGAGCCACTGCCACTGACCCAGTGAGAATAGAAGCTTAGAGTCTCCCAAGCCCAAATCCTGCATGGCAACCTTCCTCAACCTGGAGTGCTCTGCGTAGTTTAGACTCCAGCCCCAGCGTTATACAACCGCAGTGTACAATGGGGCCGCGGAACGCTGCTATATCGCATCATGGCGGCTGACACCTTTGCCTCCTGAGGGCAGCTGATCAGTGGTCATAAGAGCCCATCCTTTGGGGCTGCCAGTTCAAGGTGCTAACAGTAACCTTGCAGCAGATTGCATAGGGGCAATCATGTAAAAGGAGTTGCTTCCCACGTTCCCTTTGCAGGAGAGCAGCTCTTTCTGGAAACAGACCTTGCCCTTCCTCACCGCCAGCACCGCCTCTTCATTAGCCCTTCGTCTCTCGGAGGGAGCTTCCTGTCATCCCGAGCTCCGACCATCACAGATGCTTCGTTTAAGGTGAAGAGCCATGTCTACGGGCTTGAAGGACAGGACTTCCAGTACAAGCAGATGTTTGGGCCGGAAGTCAGGAGCCTGGTAAGCTGCCACTTGTGGTTCTTGTGACATTTTGGGAGGTGTGCCTTGGTAGCCTTGCAGGTGCCAAGTCTAACAAGTTGCTTAATTGGGAGGTTTGAAAGAGCAGAGATTCTTCCTGACAGGACCTCTGCAAATTGAGCCTTCCCTTACTGGAACATATGGGACGTGGGTGGCACTGTGGGTTAAACCACAGAGCCTAGGACTTGCCAATCAGAAGGTCGGCGGTTTGAATCCCCGCGACGGGGTGAGCTCCCATCGGTCGGTCCCTGCTCCTGTCAACCTAGCAGTTCGAAAGCACGTCAAAGTGCAAGTAGATAAATAGGTACCGCTCCGGCGGGAAGGTAAACGGCGTTTCCGTGTGCTGCTCTGGTTCGCCAGAAGCGGTTTAGTCATGCTGGCCACATGACCCGGAAGCTGTACGCCAGCTCCCTCGGCCAATAAAGCGAGATGAGCGCTGCAACCCCAGAGTCGGTCACGACTGGACCTAATGGTCAGGGGTCCCTTAACCTTTACTGCACCATAGTGACTTCCATTGATTTGCAAACCAGAAGTCTAGAACCACCAGCACTTATTCTGAGGCGTGGTTTGTCTCAGATCTCTGAAGACTCTTGTTTCCCACAATGCTTTCTCTGCCACTTGCTTGCTTGGTCGGGGCAAGCTTTATATTCCTGGGACCTCTGCCTTAGTTGCTTGCCTTGCTGTCTTCCATCAGGTGCTACGATTGTCCCAGCTCATCGGCCAGGCCCAGCAGACAGCCAAATCCATATCGGACCACTCTGTGGAGGCCACAACTAGCCATTCCTTTCTTTCCTGGTTCCGCTTTAGTTCAGCTGACTTGAATGGCTCCTACACAGGCAATGACTTGGACGAAATGGGGCAAGACAGCATTAAAAAGACAGATGAATACTTGGAGAAGGCCCTGGAATACTTTTGTCAGATATTTCGGGTATGGCAACAAAATATATCCCAATTATGTTTATTTGCAATGCAGGATGGTCTGATTAATTTGTGGATGGGTGACCTTTGCAGGGTCAAGGGCTGTATTCCCTCATGAGAATGGGATTGGGGCGGGGGAAGGGGAACCAAAGTCAAGTCTTTTCATGCTCCCTCCATTTATATTGGTATACACAAACAGCGCACCCTGAACCTTCAGGCTGCTATGCCGAGGAGCAACAGGAAGCAAGTCAGCCTGGCACAATGCATACATGACGCAATCTTTTCCATTCTGGGCATCATGTCATGGTGGCTGGGTCACACATGTGTCTGGCTGCCTAAGACCCAGTCATAGAGGGATATTGGAAGTAAGATTTCAGCCCTGAACTCCTGTCTTTTTGGGTAGCTCCCTCCTGCTGGCTCTCCCGTTTCTTGGTGCAGTAGGGTTGCCCAGGAGACAGGAGATGACCTAAGGATTTCCCTTTTGTACATTTTGCTTTTTTTCTGTGTAGCAACTGCAGATTACTTGAGAGGCAAGCTTTTGAGAAAGTGAGTGTTCATAGAGCAGCCCTTCTTTGAAAATGATGAAAGTATGTTTTTTTGTGATGGCCTTCGAGGCATCTTGTCTCCATGCCTGGAGGGCTCACAGCTCTCTTTACGTCTGAGAGTTGGCTGCTTTGCTATCCTAAGAAGTGGTTGGGGCAACCCAGTCAGATGGGCGGGGCACAGATAATAAAATTATTATTAAGCTTCAAACTGTTCAGAGAGAAAGTGAGGGGCAGAATTTGATCCCTCCCTGTGGTGCAAACCCCAAGCCTGCCCATCTCTGCACAGCCTTATCTCTGATATGCCACTTTCTGGCCTCAAGTGTTTGAAGTGGCTTAGATGGTATAAGAGAGAAAACGGAAACAGGTTTACACTGTATGGAGAGATTTCAGCACTTGCTGCTGTGTGTTTGGGCTACTTAGCTGTCAAGATGTGTCAGCTTGCCTTTTTGGTATGTAGTATTTATATAAACAAGGGACGCGGGTGGCGCTGTGGGTAAAACCTCAGTGCCTAGGACTTGCCGATCGCATGGTCGGCGGTTCGAATTCCCGCGGCGGGGTGAGCTCCCGTCTTTCGGTCCCAGCTCCTGCCCACCTAGCAGTTCGAAAGCACTCCTAAGTGCAAGTAGATAAATAGGTACCGCTTTATAGTGGGAAGGTAAACGGCGTTTCCGTGTGCTGGCTCGCCAGAGCAGCTTCGTCACGCTGGCCACGTGACCCGGAAGTGTCTCCGGACAGCGCTGGCTCCCGGCCTCTTGAGTGAGATGGGCGCACAACCCTAGAGTCTGGCAAGACTGGCCTGTACGGGCAGGGGTACCTTTACCTTTACCTTTACCTTTACCTTTAATTATATAAACTAATTTTCAAATTGATGTTTGCCAGTTGAATGAAGCCCAGCTGAGCCAGCTGATGTTGAACTGGGGGGCAGCTCAGGATAAGAATGGGAAGAAGCAGCTTCCAGACTGCATTGAGAGTGAAGACGGGCTGATTCTCACACCTCTTGGCAGGTACCAGGTAAGAGGGTGGCTGGTCTGGCCAGTTTTGCTAGGTTGCAGTCAACATTAATTTTTCAGTAATCTTGTGAGTAGCTGAAGATTTGAGTCCAGATTAAGGGCCAAAACAACCCTTGTTCAGCACTCCTTGGAAGGGTTTTAGAGGCTTAGGCCAACCCCCAGACCCCACCCCAGTAGTGTTAGGGAGCTTTTGTGTTCTTTAGTAGAATTCCTCTAAGAGGTACAGTGGTACCTCGAGTTACAAACGCCTCAGGTTACAAACGTTTCAGGTTACAAACTCCGCTAACCTGCAAGAGTTACCTCGAGTTGAGAACTTTGCCCCAGGATGAGAACGGAAATCGTGTACTGGCAGCACAGCAGCACCAAGAGGCCCTATTAGCGAAAGCACGTCTCTAGTTAAGAACAGTTAACCTGAAACTGTTCTTAACTAGAGACGTGCTTTCGCTAATGAACGGACCTCCGGAACGAATTAAATTCGTAACTAGAGGTACCACTGTATAATACATCTTTGATTATTAACTTCAAAAAGAAAAACTGATAAAGAGTTGGATCTAATGGGGTTGAAAAGCAGGCCAGTCTTGGTCTGCTGCTGTAACCTTGCCTGAATTCTGCTTGTAGCACCTTTATGACTTAAATGAGTCTGCAATGGCCTAGCCTGTTTAGCTCTTAAAATTTTGAAGAGCTGCCACCTTGTAAAAAAAGTCTTGAAGCTCAAAGCCTTTTAAGGGTACAACTTAAAAGTGCAACTGTTCTCCTAGATCATCAATGGCCTACGCAGGTTTGAGGTGGAGTACCAGGGAGATCCTGAGCTTCAGCCCATCCGAAGTTATGAAAGCACCACTCTTGTGAGGCTGCTGTTTCGGCTGTCCTCAGCCATTAATGAACGAGTAAGTGCTGTGCAAAATCTCCTTGCTGCTCTTCTGAGTCCATATGTCCGAAACTCTACACTCTGGGTGTTCTTTCCACAATGCTTGCCCTGCTCCTTTCTGTTCGGAAGATTGACACCTTTCATTTCAATCTGTTGCTTTTCAAGGCAGTTTGCAAGGAACACACTGTAATCATATACCACCATAAACCCTTACACACACACCCAGCAACAGCCCTTCATCTTCTGGATGCTGCCAGACTCTCCCTCCCTTCAGTCTCAGACCTAACAGCAATTGGAGCTGAGGCTTTTTCCTGGTAGTAAAGGCGGAAGCAAGCTGCTTTGGCCCATGAATGGGGCCAGGCTGGTCCTCCTTTGTGTGATCATCTTCCTGGAAGATGTAGGATGAAGCCTCCCAGTGGATCTCCTGGTCCAGTGTCAAAGGCTGGAGAATGAATTTCACCCCTTAATGGTATCGGACCCTAGATGTGCTCTGTCCCCAAAGGTATCAGTCCCACTCCAAGAAAGCCAACATTCTCTGCTTGGGGGATTGCTGGTGCTCTTGGCAGCTTTAAACATATATGACAGATGTTATTCTCTACCTTTGGCTTTCCTGAACAGCTGCATTAAAGGGAGCTCCTTTTGACTGCATTCCTGAAGCTGAAAGTGGGCTTGTGTGTTGGGCAGAATAGACTGATTCAGGTCCTTTCCAAGAAGACCTCTTAACAAAACCTATCAAGAAGTTGTTCCTTAATTTCTTATCATTCAGACATAAGTGTTTACCAAACATTCCTTATTTGCCATGACTTTTTTCTCTCCATGCTTAGTTTGCAGACCAAATGGAGAGACTCTGTGCCAAAGAGAACTTCCTTGGCAGCTTCTGCCGCTACCATCTCACCAACCCCTCCCTCGTGGAAAAGGCCAGGCACAGTCCACTAAGCCAGCAGAGGCTGGGGCAGATTCAACAGCCAAGAGTCAGCCTTCGGTTTCTGGCAAGCTACAGGACTCTCCTTTCTTTACTCATGGTATACTTCATTGCCTCGTGGTTCTGCATCAGTCCAGTGACCTGTACCTTCCTCCTCCTCCTGGGATATCTTTTCTATGCCACAGTTATGACTCTCCTGACTGAAAGGAGAAAGCCTCATCAACACTAACATTTTACTTTCATTCATTTATTCACATTGCTATAGGAATCCCCTCCCCTAAGGTCAGGGGCTCAGAAAGTAGGTTTTGGCTAATTAAGCCACAGGACTTTGATTTGAGCATCTTTTCTTGGGTTTGAAAACTTTAAATATTTTTAATGAAGTGGAACAGATTTGTGAACAGAAGGCTCTACTTTTCTAAAAGCCAAGTCAATCTGTAAATTTTGTTTTGATAAACTTTTTAAAAAACAAACAAACCGCAGGCTCTGTAGTGAAGATTTTGGTGGGGGGGTGGGGGTGGTACAGCAGTGGGATTGGGAGAATGAATCTGAAACAAGCAGCTTGGCTTAGAAAAAAGTCAAGTGAATGGCAGCTTTTGAGCATCTCACACAAACATGCTGGCACACTTTTTTTACTCCCCATCATTGTAATAGGGCTTAGTCAGAGCATGTACACAATGGGGCTGTGCCCTTTCACTTGAAAGCATGTGGTCAGTGAGGTAGATAACCATGTGTCTACCCATTGCTTGGATTTTCATAAGTTACTTAAGAACAATCTGGTCAACAATCTCCCTGTTATTTTGGGGCCTATTCACAAGCCCAAATAATATTACGGAAATCTTGTGCCTTGAAAGTGGATCTCTGTAGTGATGCAAATGCTTTGTCAAACATCTGGTTCCAGTTCAACCCAAACTTTACTATCAACAATTCTGCAAAGTGGTGAAGCAGCAACAAGTCATGGAAAGCAGGGGGATTTCTCGAACTCATGCCATGTAAAATTTAAGGTGCTGGTATTTAGAATTCCTAGGAAGCAGAGAGCTTTGAGAGAATCTATGCAAGTGGAGGAACTGGTGAGTGATCCGAATGTAAGAAGAGCCTGTCAACTAAATCCGACCAAGGCATTTAGTCCAGCATTGTGTTCCCACGGTGACCAACCAGAAGCCTCTGAACAGAACAGCCTTGTAATCCCCACCAGCTGGTCTGCAGAGCGGTAGCCTACCTGAGACCAAATGGAGAGACTCTGTGCCAAACTGGAAGCAGTACATAGCCACCATCCCTAGGAGCTGTTATCCTTCCTGAATTTGTGTAATCTGTTTTTAAAGTTGTTGCAATGTGCTGCCAGTGCTACATCTTGTGAGAGTCCCATCGTTTCTGTGCACTGTTTTGAATATATTGGTGCCATTCAGTATCATTAGATGACCCTGTTGGGTTTCAATATTAAGAGGGGGGTGAAATAACTACTCTCGTCTACGAGCTATTGCCAGCCTTAGCCACCATGAATTTGTGGTAAAGCTGTCTCTGCTTCCAGAGCCAAGTCCGAAAACTCTGTCCCTCCCCCAGCCTATGGAGAGTCAATGGGTTGAAAGGTAAAAAGTATTCTAAGCCACAACATTAGAGGCATCTGCAGGATAATTCCAGAAAGGAGCAAGTGTGGAACAAAGGATGCACAAAGCATTTGTACAACTGTTGCAAACACACACGCATGATCTCCATTGGCTAGGGATGTGCATGGACAAATGCTTAAGTCACGCAGAGCCGTAGTTAGCCAGATTGTTTTGCTCCGGGTGATGCCTCCAGAGGAGCACCATTGATGCTCCAGGCCTGTGTGTGTGTTTGCAAATGTGCCTGTGTGTGTGTGTGCCAAACTGGGTCTGACCCAGGTGAAATATAGCTTACTTTTGTCCCTGAGTCAGGCGTTCTACTTGGCCACAGAGCAGTTCCTTCTTGACCCTTGTCTCAGGCCAGGCGTAACTGGTCTTGCAGTTGCAACTCAGCAAGCGGAAGTCTGGCATTATTGCACCTCAGGAGTTATGGCTCCCGAGTTATAGCACTCGGGTATCCTAAATATGTACTGCGTAAGCAGAGCATGAGAGGATGTGCGAGCCTACTTGTGTGCTGTGCTGTGTTTCCCCTGTGGGTTCTTAACACCCTCCCTGGGTCATGGCATCCAGCGAAGTCCCAAATGGCACCCAGGTATCGTTCCAAGTTACTGGGCCAACTTTGGGGTGACTTGGGTCCTGCAAGATGGTCTTCAATCCAGCCCCATGCTCTCCGTACTCTGCGCCGTTTGGAGACTGCGGTGCAGGTGGGTGGGTTGGAGAGCATAGGAACCAATCAGCCTAATAATAATAATAATAATAATAATAATAATAATAATTTATTATTTATACCCCGCCCATCTGGCTGGGTTTCCCCAGCCACTCTGGGCGGCTTCCAACAGAACACTAAAATACAATAACCTATTAAACATTAAAAGCTTCCCTAAACAGGGCTGCCTTCAGATGTCTTCTAAAAGTTTGGTAGTTATTTTTCTCTTTGACATCTGGTGGGAGGGTGTTCCACAGGGCAGGCGCCACTACCGAGAAGGCCCTCTGCCTGGTTCCCTGTAACTTGGCTTCTTGTAGAGAGCAGCGGCGTAGCGTGGGTTGTCAGCACCCGGGGCAAGGCAAGTAATTTGCGCCCCCTAACCCCTAACCTGCCGCCGCTGCCAGCTTCTTCTTGCTGCTGCCTGGGCTGGGGTATTTACGGTAAGGTAGCCACGGCGGCGGCGGCGGGTCCGTATCAGGTGATCTGAGGCGAGTTGCCGCTGGCGCTGCCGCCCAAACGACGCCGCTTGCCCGGAGGAGGAGGAGGGCAGAGAGGCGAGGAAAATGCAACATGGCCCAGCAGCTGCAGCGGCGGCGGCGGGGCTGTGAGGGGCTGCCTGGCGTGCCCTCCGCGGCCCTGACGCGCGGGGACCGCGGCGAGCGCTGAGAGCCGCTGCCAGCTCGTCGGTTCCGCGAGACATGGGGCTCTGCTACAGCCTGCGCCCGAGGCTCTTCGTCGACTCTGGAGGCGGCGAGCGCGCCCCCCCCCCCAGATGTTGCGCCCGGCCCCCCTGCACCCCCCACGCTACGCCACTGGTAGAGAGGGAACCGCCAGAAGGCCCTCGGCGCTGGACCTCAGTGTCTGGGCAGAACGATGGGGGTGGAGACGCTCCTTCAAGTACAGGACCTTTGCCCCGCCGCCCAATAAAATACTTCAAGCGGTTGATGGACATCGCCATTCAAATAATGTAGTGCTCGCGGGCGCCGTAACATTTGATTGATCATGTGGGGGCGGGGCTTCCCTGCCCCTTCCCACAATTTTTTTTTATTCCTGGTGGGGAGCTAGCGAGAGGGGCGCCCCTGTCAGGTGAGAGGCCTCTAGTTATTTCCCCTTCATGGCTCCCCCTCCCCGCCATTCCCCTCACGGCGCCTTTTCCCTTATGACTTAACACCCGCCCCTCACCGCGCTCGATGGGCGGGGCTCTCCTCCTCCTGGGGCTTCGCGCCTCTTTCGCTCCTCCGGCCACTGTGGTGCGAGCGAGCGAGCGCCCGTCGCCATGGCGACAGAGGCGGCTGCGGGGGCGGGGAGCGGCGCGAGGCTGGTCGGAGGAGGCGGCGGGAAGGGACCCAGAGCCGCCGCCTAATTCTCCTCAGGCGGCGGCGCTTCGGCCCTTCAGGTTTCCCGCCCGGGTAGGAGGAGGAGAAGCGAACGGGCCAACGACCTCCCGCTCCTGAGGCGGAATGGGCAGCGCCTCCGCCTCAGAGGGAAAGCTCTTCTGAAGAGGAGGCGGCAGAAATGCGCCTTAGCCCCGGCCCGGCTGCTTCTCCTCGCACCCGAGCTGCTTGAGTCTGAGGCCTCTGCGCACCCGGCTCTTCCGTCGCTTTCCTCCCCGGCCTCGGCCATGCAGAGCTCCGGTTTCCCTTCGCTGGGCCGCGCCCAGCAGCACAACCTCCACCTGCCTCCCTGGTCGCGCTTCGGCGGGCAGCAGCCTCCGCCTTCGCAGCAGGAAAGGGCCGCGTCCCCGGCTCCGCCGTCGCCTTCGCACCCCGCTTCTCAACCTCACCCTCCTCGGCCCCCTCGGACTCCCAGCGCCGACGGCTGGAGGAGGGCGGCCACCGACCTGGAGCGCAGCCTCAAGTTCCTGCAGGAGCAGTACGCCGAGACCCTCCAGAAGCTCCACGAGGAGATCGATCTCCTCAAGAGGCAGAACAAGGGTGGGCAGCCGGAAGGATACCCCACCTCCACCCCCTCCCAATTACGAGCCAACTCCTATGGGACGAGGGAGATCCGGCTCCCCCGATAAAATATACGAGGGGGTTCAGCAGCCCCAACGTGGATGGGCATTGCCATTCAAATAGCACCGCGTCGTGTGGTCAGTTATATAGGGCGGGCCTTGCTTAACTGCCCCCCCAATATTTCATCCAAGTTGGCACCCCTCCCTGAAAAAGAGGTGGTTGCAGCAGCAGCACTCCAGGTGCCCAGAGCCAATCGCATGGTGACCCAGTTGGCTGCCCCCTCAAGTCTCTCCCTCTCCATCCCCAAGTAAAAGAATGGGGAGATCCCTGGGCGTGAACAAGGTTACCAGTTAAAGGAGGGATGGGCTGGCCACAATAACACAGCCTTTTCTTTTTCTTGCAGATCTTCATTATAAGCTCATCATGAACCCGATACTTCAGAGGAAAGGTACAGCCTTGCACTGCCCGTGTTTCAGAGTTATAAAGTGAAACTAGTCACTTGCCCACTCAAGGCTCAGGAATGGATAAGATGGTTTCTGACACAGCTGCTTCACCTAAACCAGGGGTGGGGAACCTTTTGGGCTCCATGGGCCAGATCCTGATCAGGTTCGCCTGCCACTGAATTTGACAGCTGTGTTTGGGAGGTGTCATTAATGTAACCATGATTGACAGGTGGATGCCCCACTCACCTGTCAAAATCCTTTGTACTTAGAAACCACAAGGCAAGAGACCTTGACAGCCCCATGTTTGGAAGCTCTTAGCATAGAGTTGGTAATGAGGGAGATAGGCGAGTCCAGTGAAGCTGGTGCTTGTAATATGTGAGCCCTGGTTGTTACCCAAGAGATTAGGCTTGGTGTTTCTTGAAGGGGATGAGTGAGTAGGCACATACACAGACTGACATGGAGCGGGTGAAGAAGGTCCAACTGAGTGTCTCCCAGCTCCTGATAGGCAAGGAGTTGATGGCAAGCCTGGGAGCTCCAGGATCAGCTTTCTCTTAGAATATTTCAGCTACTAGGATGCCAAGACACAAAAGGGTCCCTTCTGAAAATGTCCTGTTTGGCCTTCCCTATGGTTATGCGCTGTTACGTGGGTACTGGTGCTAGCCCTTCAAGGGAGTATGCACCTGTCTGGCACCTGTCTGCCAGCTTATTCAACTAGTTCCTTTCTTTCTGTTTTTGTAGATCATTCTTCCAGCAACTTGCCTAGTAAGTCACAGCCAGGAAGCAGTGCACCAGGGAAGACAAGTGCCGGCTTAAAGATGGTGGCGCCAGCAGCAAAAGAAGAGCACAGAGAACAAGGTACACACACAGTCTAAGCTGAAAAGATAGCTTTTAATGGTGGCCACAATGCCTCTGATGCCATGGCTGTGTAGTGTTTTGAGTGTATTAGCAATGCAGCCTTTTCCTAAACATCTTGTAGGTCCTGAGGAGCTGGAAAAGAAGCCAGTAAGTGGCGAGTTCATGATGGATGAGACGAGTGCAGAAGAAGAAATTATAGAAAAGGAAGTAGATAGAGTAATGTGGAAGGAATTGGAGGACTTCAGGCCGGAGCAGGAGACGGTTCCAGAAGAGGCACCTCATCCCAGGTTTGAGAACACCCACTGAAGTAGCAGTAACTTCTAAATCAAAGCAGCAAGTTTCACATTGTTGTTATTGTTACTGATGATTAAAAGTTCTGCTTACTATTTATCAAGGTGGTGTACACATATCCCCTCTCCATTCTATCCTTACAACAGTCCTGTGAGTGAACTTGTGCTGTGAGGCTGTGACTGGCTCAAGGTAACCTGGGAGGCTTCATAGCTGAGTGGGGATTTGAACCTTGGTCTCCTTAAGTCTTAGTCCAACACTCTAACCACTACACCACACTGTCGTGTGCAGAACTGCAAAATTCTCAGTCTTACGCAGGCTTACTTGGGCCTTGCTAGACTTAAGTGTGGTTACTCTCAGATAGATACGTAGCTTCTTTTGTACTACAGACTGATACAGCTACTGTTCAGCAAGTGAAAGCAATTCCATTCTGATATTAGTGACCAGCAAACACTGTTAAAGCCCACCAGTGATCTGACAGCTGGGAGAAACCCCCCGTCATTCAGTCAGGATATTTTTTTAATGTAACATATAACTGGTTTGAAGCTACATAAAAAGGGAGACAATATTTTTAAAGCCAAGAGAAATGGGAAGGAAACTAAAACTGATGAAAGAATAGGGCAGTTGGTTAGCCCCTGTGTTGGGGCTACTTGAAAAGAGTGTCAGTCAGTCCCTTAGGCCGTAGGTTGCCCACCTGTACTTCACTGAAATAACTGTTCCTTGGTCACACTTCAACTGTGTTGTTACAGAGACGCAGATGTTTGTGACAGGATGACGTCCCCCATCCCTTTTTCATCTGGTCAAAGCAGGGCAGGAGATGTGAAAATCCCTGCTGCTTCTTCCAACCCCTTCTTGGTGACAGTGCTCCCTTCCTACATGCGGAAGCCACCAACGCTGGAGGAGTGCGAAGTGGTCATTCGGCAGTTGTGGAACATCAACCACATGCAGATGCAGGAGGTGAGGCTGCTTGCTCTCCTGGGTCCCACAAAGGCAGGAAGCTGACATTGCAGGAGGAGCAGGAAAGTCACACACTCTCCTCCTTTCTTCTTCAGCTGATGTATTTGCGATCGTGCTTGGAAGATATCCACAAGACCAAAAGAATTCCTGAGGACTACATGCTAGCTGGTCATGTTGGGTAAGGTGGTTTTTAATGGAAAGAGGAAGGATGGTACCTCTGAATACCTCTTTTGAGTTGCAGCAGGGTCTCCAAAGTACCACAGTTGATTGATTAGGTGGTCGCTGGAACTAATGAGTGGTTCAGCCATGGCTTTTAGCTAATTTCTTCTCACAAAGCTATTTGTGAGCACATGTGAGATAGGAGCTCAGATTTTTGCCAGGGAACCTTCTTTGATCTCTGCAGTTCTTTAGAGATCCCATGCATTCCTGTACCATCCTATCGCCTTGAGGAGAAAATAGCAGCTGAAAGCAACTGTCCAAATTAACTCTCCATAAAATGCATTGAGACCATTACTTTGTCTGCCTCCCTTTGCAGACTCCTCCTAATGCTGGCTATGGATTCCCACCTCCCAATACAGTTAGCCTGCTTGTTCACTTCATGTAGGATTAAATTTCACTCCTCCCAGCAATTTAACCTCACTGGAATTTTTCTTTGTAGCTGGGCTTAAATTTAATTAAGCAGGAAGTGGTTACGCTTGGAGTAGCCTACCTATGTGGAGAGAGCATGGAAATGCTTACTGCATGCTTACTAAAGTGCTGGATCTCACCTACTAGGAACTTTGATGGCAGCTGCAATCTTGAGAGCAGGTGTGTTGGGGCATTTCCATGTGAGCTAAGAAAGCAGGCTGCACTGGTATTTTGCTACTTAAGATGCTCCTGTGAGTCTCAAAAGTGTTATTTCTATGCCCTAATGGAAGGACATAACGCATGTTGAAAGGGCAAGAGGCGAGAATTTTTTTCCCAGTGCCCAATTGTTGGTGCCAGAATAAATACTCTGTGGCCTAGTATGAAGTAGCACTTACCTATAAATATACATGCTAATTAATGGTTTCCTTCAGGAACCAGGAGGTCACACGGTTGCCCAAGGTGAAGAATGGTCCTAAGAAATGGTAAGCAGGCATCTTATCTTAACACAGGTCAGAGATGGCTTAAGGGGAGCACAACTGGTTAGGTCACACTGGGTGCTTAGACTTTGGGGCACTGCAAGGACCCCACAATTATGATTTAGAATGCAGCATGAGAAGTAGGGGGGACAACTAAATCTGGGTGTCACAGAAATTTAAGATCCCGAGGTCCACCACTGCACAGGCCACTCACAACTTTTTATTAAAGTTTTGCAGTTAAAAGTCTCCCAGCAGGCTTCCCAAATTAGAAAAAGTATTTTGTGGTAAGGATCTAATTGAAATGTAAACATTTTTCAAACTGGACTCCTCCACCTTGCCAAACTGTCTTTTTTAAAAAATGCCATTACATACTGCTCCTATGGGTCCCCACAGTAGTGTCCTGATGCCAAGAAGTTTTGTGGCACTTTTAAAGCACTTCCAAAATTGGTCTGTTTTTTTAAAAAAGTTTACCAACTGCTCTTGTGGTGATGCCAAAAAGTTTATGACTCTCCCTGCCACCAAGACCTTGCAATTTTTTTTTTTAAAACTAAAAAATAGAATTTAATTTTTACGAATTTAATCTTGAATGATAAGAATGATATATAGTGGTACCTTGGGATGCGAACCTGGGATCCATTCTGGAGCCCCGTTTGCATCCTGAATGGAATGTAAGACGCGATGGTGCGGCTGCGCGTGCCTCGTTTTGCCGCTTTCGTGCATGTGTGTGATATTTTGAGTGTCTGTGCATGCGTGAGCGGCAAAACCCGGAAGTAACACGCTCCATTACTTCCGGGTTGTCGCAGAGCGCAACCCGAAAGCGCTCAACCTGAAGCACATTCAACCCGAGGTATGACTGTAAAGGTGTTGAATCAGTTGATGGGAAAAGCCTTTTTGGAAGAAGTGCAGTTCTTGCCTCAGCCCCCCAGAGGGCGTTGACTCTGGGTCAGTGCTGCCCTTGGCTCACCTCTCTGCTCTAAGGTGAAAGGCGTGCTGAAGTGCAAGCAAATTCTACTGTAACTCCTGCTTAGATCTGTCACTTGGGCAGGTGGAGAAATGTTCCCATTTGCTCCAGAGGACTAGTTTAGTGCATACGAAACATCAACATCAGACAGTTTTTGGCTTTGAACGTGAATTACCAGAGCAAGCTCTTGGCTAGAAGCCAAGACTCCAGAAAAAAAATATTCTTTGGGTGTGGGGGCAGACACCCTGTTAGTAGGATGAGAGAGCAGCTTATTTAAATGCAGACTTCAATATGACAGGCCCACTTTGTTCTCCAGTAGGATTCTCACACCACTGCCTGCTGCTGAAAGGGCTGTGCTGCCAGCACTGAAGCAAACACTAGGAAATGCTTTTGCAGAGAGACAGAAGAGAACACAGGCTGTTCAGAGGAACAGGCTCCACCGGACAGCACTTTAGCAAGTATGGTTCAATTGGCCTCTTTTTGTAATGTGTCTCCTTGTCCTAAAGTGGTTTGAAAGCCAGCTAAACCATTTCCGAGTGTGTGCTGTACTTTCAACAAATTGTTTCTGGTGTTCACCACTCAATTTTTAAAACTTCATAATTAATCCTTTTTTGTCCACATAGCTACAGAAGATCACAGTGACCTTACTTCTCCCTAGAAACTGTTCTAAGTTTTTTAAACTACAGAATCGGGGGCTTTTAGATGCAGAATACACAGAAGCCTCCTTAGACAACCCCAGGTCAAGGGGGTATCAAAGTGACTTTGCCTTTTAGCAAACAAGTTTCTGTGCCCTCGTGCTCAGGCTGCGGTGGAGCTAAAGGAGTTTGGGGGGTTGCAAGAGAAAATAAGTGAGTGTTAAAACACTGGAACAATACATTTATTACAATAAAACAAATGCCTTAGTTCATGTATGAAATAATTGATACTTTGTACTGCAATCAATCAGAGCTTCTTAAGTACATTTTTAAAAATGTCCTCAAATTGACACAGCAATCACACATTTACAGATAGCACAGCAATTGGATGCCGTGTTGGAAGAGTGCAAGCCAGTATTCAGCGACTCTGCTGCAAAGGTGATAGCAGAAGTATGTAAAAACAGCAATACTTCCACAAAGATCAAGAGAGTTGTGCATGGGAGGTAGGAGAAAGCAAAACCAGGGCTGAGTGAAGCAGCCTCAGTCTCACCCTATGCCCAGCCAGGCTCCTCCCGTGAGGCACAAGTTGATGAATGACACTTGACGCATGGCTTGCCAGAGCCACATCAGTCTAATAGCTGGCTGCCTCATAGTTGGGAAGACACAAACCGCTCACCTGCTTCAGTCAGTCACTGCACACAGCTATCAAAGAACAGCTTGTGTGGTGGGTGTGCAGGCAGCCTCTTCTTGGGCTGGTATCCAACCAAGCATACATATATACATACATACTGGGCACTGGACGAGGTCTGAAGGACGCTGTCCCTTTTCTTATAGTAGGGAGACTCCGTGACAGAAGTCTACACACACTCTTCTCTAAGAAGACATTAAAAAAAAGTCATTAACACGTCTGCCGTAAGAACCGTGAAAATCCACCCCCTGCATCAAGTTATGGGCAGGTCTACAAAGGCAGAAGAAGCACAAGCACTAAACCTAATTCCAGGCTCTTTACAAAGCCGGGCTCCTAGTAAACAAAAACAATTTAAGGCTTCTGCTTCACACGTTCCTGCCCTGCTTGGCTGTGATTTTTTCCAGCTCAGGCCCAGCAAGAGGAGATGACGAGACATTAAGCAGCAGACAAGCAGGCCTGGCGGATGCTCTGCGCCCAGGTGTTAAGGAGTGCTGTGACAGAGTGCTTGTCAGGAAGCTGCAGCAATTTTGACATCATGTAGCGATACACTGACTGCAAGAAAGGGTTTGCTTCTGGAAAGAAAAAAGCAGAAAGAGTCTATTATTAAAAAATAATAATAAAGGACACCATCCAGATGACAGCTTGTGTGTGGGCGGTTTTGTGACTCATACTGATGGGTTATCAAAGCTGGGGATTTGGAGCTGCAGAACTGAGAAAAATGAGTCATTGGCTTTTTTCCCCTTCACCTCACCATTGGAAGCAGTAGCAGTGTCTTGTTACATATCTGAAGCTTCCAAAATTCAATCAAAGGATTTCCTTAGGATACTGGAATTCTGAGCTTCCAAAGCTTAAAACTGAGAGGGCAGTTTTCCTGTAAAAACTTAGTAAGAGAGTGTGTGTTTATAAGTAAAAAATGTAGTTGGTTCTCTTCTTCCCACTTGGCCTCTAGCAGTGTCCTTCAAAAAAACCCAGTATTCTGAAATCACAGATCAAACTTTACCACATCTCTTCCTACAGCACAAATAAATCCACACTCAAAAGACAGGATGGGAGTCTTAATATGAAGTGGTCAAATGGATCACAAAGACTAAACTCACCAGTTCCAAGGCTTAATGTAGACCCTATACCCCATCACCCACCCAAATGTCATTTTCCGCCTGCCTTGTTCTTTCATACCGTACTGCTGAGGGTTATCAATCCACAAGGGGCTCTGATGTGGATAATCGGCTGGGACGCTCAGTTGCAATGGTGGGACATTTGGAAGGTTCTTGTCATCTGGAATCAGACACATTTTGCATTACTTTCTCAACCTTCTCCAAGAGACACCTAAAGTTGCTTATCAGGCAGCCTCTTTATTAAGTAGGAACTCAGAAACAACCTCTCAGGCACCTGACCCATCAAGGTCTGGTTAGAATCCTCTGTTACCTTTTCTCTCTTGGGCAGGTTTTGGACCTTAACCAGGCCCGGTCAACCTCCCCTGCTGCTGCTGCTGCTGCCGCCACCACCACTGCAGGCTTTTAGCCTTCAAGTGTCAAGAGGATATTTGAAGATAGAGCTGTCTTTTCTTGCCACTCACCTAGCTTGCATATGAGGTGGACGGTGCCATTGTTGCTACAATGGGAGGGATCCAGGTTCACCAAGAACTTTGGGTTTAATCTTGCAACCTCCCCTTGTAATACATTTGGTATAGTCTGCCTTTCGTCCTCTTCATATTTCCGCTTCCGAGTGGAAGTCACCGGGGTCCTATGAGAGGACAGCCAACTTCAGTTTCAATTCTCATTTCTAATTAATTTTGCGTACAAAATGATAAGGCAACCCCCAACAACTGGTCTAACTAAAATTTCAAAGCAAGATAAAATAACTTCAGAAATAGCCGGAACAATACATATGCACAAATATCTGACAAATTCCAGAAGGGTAGCTGTGTTAATCTCTTGCAGCACACACAAGTAGTCTTTGGGCATCTTATTCCTTCCAGGCCTGGGCTCTGAGCTTTCCTATCTCTCACACAATTCCTTAGCCATCTTTCAGCAGATGCTAGAACAATGAATATACATACGTGATGGGTGGACCATGGATGGCAGTCATTGCTGGCATAAAGGTTCGGTAGAGGGAATGATTGAAGACTGGTGAGCGGATATTGGCCAAGACAGCATCCAACAAGGGTTGGCACAAGTACTGCTGCTTTGTGGGAGGCACTGTAGGGGGTGGGGGGGTGGGCTGACATACAAGAGACACACATGGATTTAGGGAAGGTGCAGTTCTGTCAGTAAGTGTTGCTGGACTCTCGGGAAACAACAGCCTTAAGAATGAGACTTCAGGCCCTCTGCTCAGATGCCAGCTTACAAATCTGTCCATTGAATCTCAGACAGCTCCATGTAGAGACAAAGAACTTCACGAGGCATCTACCCTCCTACCAGATTCACCTCCCACGAACAGCTCCAACTCACCCACTCTTCCTGGCCTTGGGGTTGGCCAACTGTCAAGATGCCCTTCTTTATTTCCTTGTGCACCTTCTACTCAGATCCCATCAGGCAATTGCTCCTTACTCAGCTTTGGACACACTGGAGTTTGCTTGTATGGTCGACTCGCAACTTACGTGCATGTAACTTGTGTGAGCTCAGCTTTATGTGCCTGGCTGATTTTTTGTTTTTAAGAGGCAGTCATCAAGGGGGATGGATTGGAAGAAGGTGGGGACACTGGCAATTGTGCCCACCATCACACTCACGTTGGGAGAGCATTTGGATGTGCAGTTAAGAGAGTGAAAGTGGCCTTAGGCGCATTCGGAGGTGCATGGAAGTCTTCAGTGGTTTTTACAGGACATCTTCCAGTTTTTAAAGGATTGACTATACAGTATGTGATTTTGGCTTTATGTGCTACCACTGGAACTTAACTCTTGTGTAAGTTGTGAGTCGTTTGTTCTTGTAAAAGCAGATTAGCTCTGTAGCTCTGTCAGCGCCAAGGCCCATCTAGTCTGACGTCCTGTTCTCATAGTGGCTATCGGATGTCTCTGGGAAGAGGACCAGAGTGCAACAGTTGCACGCTCCCTATCTGTGATTCCTTGCAACTGCTATTCAAGGGCATGGCGAATAGCTGTTGATAGCTTCATCCTCCATGTATTTGTCTAATCCTCTATTAAAACCATGCATAATCTTATACTCGTATGTCTCCTCTTAACTGCCTTTTTTCAAAACTTAAAAAGTTCCAAATATTGTAACCTTTCTACATAGGGAATTTGATCTGGCCCCTTTTGGTTATCCCTTTTTAAATCTACAATATCCTTTTTAAGGTGTGGTGACCAGACCTTTATGCTGTACTGTGGCCAACTTCTTTGCCTATATTTTCCTTCTTTTGTTCCTGACGTGCAGAATCATTGAGAAGAGAAAGCCCCCTGCTAATGTGGACTAGGGGAACAGAGATATATACACACACACAAAACTTACCACAGCCATGTCATTCTTGAGCTTCTCCAGAGCAATTTCACATTTCTGCAGTGTCTTCAGAGGACAGCTAGGAATGAAGAAAGCCAGTCTCAGAACAGGCACTTTTCTGCTTCAGAGAAAGTAGAATTGCCTCCTCGTTCCCCAGATGGACATGGCAAGCCACCAACAAACAGCACTCTCCCTCCCCACTACTGCTGCTACACACAGTCACTAGGAAGAACGAAGCCGCCTACTGGAACCTGGCCCCGCTGCTGTGTGGGGCTGCTTCTTGTGCCTCTCTTCCTACAGAGAAGACACTTCCTGCCTGCTACACTTGGCAAGCACAAAACCAAGAACAAGGCAGGCTAGAGCACTGAGCCTCTTTTTCCTCAACTAACACAAAGCAGAATTTTGCCTGTGAAGACAACTAGCTCTAATTATCTCCTGGCGCTTACAAAGACAACTCCTCTAGATGTTCAAGGGGAGGAGAGCAAGAAGAGATAATGGGTCGAAAATGAGCACACAAGTTTACCGTTTGGAAGGATCAGTCAGAATATCCAGCAGGCTTTTCATCTTACTGAGGTCCTTCTTCCTGTCTGAATTGATAAGAAACACTCCTGAAAGAGGCAGTTATGCTAGAACTATCTTGCAGGACAGAGAGAAAGCAGATCTCTTGTGACAGGCGAAGGAGGTCTGTACCTCTTGAGGTTCAAGCTTCCCTGCCAAAGACAACCACTCAGAAAGAGGTCATAGGGTGCAACATGGCCTCTGTCACATCCTTGTGAGGACAGCAGCAGATGGCACAAACTGATGGTGTGTCCATCCCTTCTGCTTTTCAGAGGGTGCAAAAGTGCAACATGCCTCAGCAAGCCTTCCATATGGCCCATGGTGTGCCATGCCCAAACACGGTTCAGCCACAGAATGTAACTCTGGGCAGAGCCAAAGAATTCATTGCCACCCAGTTTCCCTCTACTTCCTGCAGAGATATAACATGGTTTATTCATCACTTTGCACATGACAAGGCTATATTTACAGGTAACCCGGCAGCAAGTAGGAAGTAACATGGCTGATCTGGACTACCAAGCCCAGACCTAGGAGAAAGCCTCTTGGTACCGCCTGCTGCAAGGGGAAAGGCTATCAAGGCTGGGTACCGACAACCCCAAGCACACCACCGGGGGGGAGACGACACACACTTACCTTCATTCTTATCTATCTTGTTGATCATCCTCCGCAGAGGCTCAATGTACTTGGAGAGCTGCTTGAGTTTTTCCAGGTACTGCTGCTCCTCAGATTGGCTGGAGCTCGCTGGGCTCATGACAGAGTTGGGATTGCCTTCCAGGCAGAAAAGAGGACAGGTTAGACCCATGGAGTAAAGGCACTGAACAGGAGGAGGGGGAGGTGGCTGCACCCAGCACAGCCTGCCTTCCATCTGCTTTCCTGCATGCACCCCCAGGCTGCTTCCCCTCTGCCACCATCACCAAGCTGTTCTGGGGATTCAGAGTTTGGCTGTGGGACATGCTGCCTTTGCCCTGTTGTTGGGCTGCCTGCAATACAACTTCTGCCAGGGAAGCAGAGGGTCACAGTCTGTATGCAAATTATGTTCACCCACCACATCACTGATAGTTAAAATTATCAAAAAATCCTCTCAAATGCCAGCACTGGGTCCCCACAATTAACCCCATTTATGCAAAATATGCATTACAGGCACAGACTTGGAAGTAAAAAGAGGGGCAACCTGGTTTTGCTCCCTCAAGCCCTGCACAAATTACCTGGAGTATTTAGTGGCCCCGGAGATGGGACACTGAAGTTCTGTGGCGTTCGTGCAGCTGCTGGACTTTGAGAGGGCTGAGGAGATGGACTGGGGAGGAAGCTGCTGGGAGATGGGGCTGGACCGGAGCTGAAAGAGGAGGAAAGTATTTCCCATTGAGGTCTGGGGATGAAGCAGCTATTATTGACCCTAAAAAGAAAACTTGAAACCACCTGAAGCCTGCTTACTCCTACATCAAGGCTCACCTGACATTGGAGTTGGGCTGGGAAGTTGGCTGCCCTGGCTGGGGAGAGGGCTGAGGTGGCGGAGGCATCGGCTGAGGGGTCTGGGCTTGCTGGGCTGGTGAAGGAGAAGACATCATGGTGATGCTGCTCTGGCTGACCTAGAACAAAGGAACCGTCACTGGCAAGAGGAGCCTTTCCAAAAATCGAAGGGCACCAGGACAAGAGTAGCAGCCAGGGATCCCATTGAAAGGCAGCATATTTGACCTGCTGAGGAGCCTTGGGCTTGCCACTCTTTCCTGGGCTGTAAAATGAAGATTGTAATGGACACGGCAGGAAGCTCAAAAACAGGCCCAACACAGCAGCATTTCTCTGCAAGCCTCCTGTGACTTCACATGCAGAATTCTTCCCTGGCTTGCTAAGGACAGAGAGCCAACTCGGAGGGTCCTCAGTTCCATCTACATTTACTAGACCAAACATCTGTCTGAAAAATGCCAGCCTCAACTAGTACCATGGGAGACTTACCTTCATTGTGGCCCAGTGCACCAAAACCCCGTTCCTTTAAGCTTTGTCAATGATTTCCCAGTAATAATCCACAACAGACTGAGATGGTCCAAAGTGTGTATGTGTGCTGCATGCATGACAGACACAGGCTAGCTTGGCAGAAGAATGCTCCAGCCCCACAGAGAACAGAGCCAGGGTAAAACATGGAACTACATGGAGCAGCAGCAGCTCATCATACAAAACACGTGTGTGTTTTGGGAAGCAGAGGAGGTGCGTGCCATAGTCCACAAGCTGCCCAAGTTGGCAGACTGCTTCCCTCTTTTGCTCTATTTCCACTGAGCATTAGAAAATCAGACAGACAAAACTTCCCGTTCCTCTTTGGGGGGACTCTTTAGAAACTACAGCCAGCTGCATGAAATATAGCTGAACAAACCCATCGTACTCTAGTCCCTGCCCCCTCCCCCAGGGCCAATGGAGGCCTTGTATTTAGACACTTACTAAGTTTTGCAGCTTTAAAAAAATGCACATCAGACCAAAATATGACACCCACCCTCTCGGCTTAGAGCTGCAAATTAAGCAAATGAGATCACTTTTTAAATTAACAAATATAGACTTTGTCATTTTAAAGAGTTAAAAAATTCATAAATATTGCTAAAAATATACCGTTTCTGATGACACAGGATTAGACGGTGATGAGCATGTCCTCCCCGGTCTGCTGCTCATGTTGTATGAACAAACAGCTCACTCTTCAGAGCCTTATTTTGCCTTCCTCTGCCGTCATTTTTAATCTTTATTATGGCTAGGGGCCTCTCTGGATCTCTAAGAGGGCCTGCTCCCCCACCCCCTTCAAATTCCAGCTAAATGTGTGTGCAGTTTGCAGCATAATTAATTGTTCTAGGAATCTGAAGCAAAGAGTGAAGGCCGAGATTCCGTGTTCTCAACCTCTAATCTTCACAGCTGGCTCCCTCTAAAGGAGCAGCTTTTTTTTATTAAAAAAATGGACAGATACTGATCAAAGCAAAAGGCCCATAGATAAGCAACACCTGTTCTTTTGCTTACTCTAGCTGCGCAGCAGGGTTGATTGCCCACAGAACGTTAAGTGAAAGCCTTGGACCCAAAGCTTTCTTCTTTTTAGGATTCTACCTTATTTGAACTGCTCTCAATGCAAATTGTTTTCAGAAAACCTTGGTGCCATTCAACTGCAAGAGAGTGTCCTTCAACTGTGTTTATCTGATGCTGAATTTCTACAAGGCCTAATTGAGAGGGGAAAGTGTTTTGTGACTGGCAAGTGCTGCAAAGCCAGAACACCTTACCTAGAAAGCAAACTCCTATTTAAACTCAGTGTGAATCACAGGTAAGGGCCTGCCAGTGTGCAAATAGGTTGCTCATCCACTGTTTCAGTGCCAAGCCTGCCATGTGGAAGGGAGGCTGGACATGGGTGCCACACAGCTCATCTGTCAAACCTATAGGGACTAGATCAGAGATTTTGAGAAGCCTGCTAATTTAGGTGATACCAATACCGGCTTTGGTAGTAGTGCTACAACACAGATAAGGGAACAGCCAGCAAATTACTAGATCATTTTTTGTGTCCAGCTGATGTAAAGCAGGCTGGGAACAGAAGTGCTTGTGAAGCAGTAAGCAGAGACTGAAGGATATGTTAAGTGACTGTGGATATCTCTATGCACCCAGAACTAATTGCTGTTGACAACATTTAAGGCTATTCACAGGTGTTGTTCATGTCAATCTGTTTCCTTTGATTGCAGTGCTGGGTGACTCAGAGGTCAACACCTGGGCTTCATTCTCAGGTGGAGTTTGTATGCAGCAGCTTTACGAACCTTCTACCAACCAAAGCTGGTCTACAGAGAGGATATTGGTTCTCCTTCTCAGGACTTGAGTGGCTGCAGCTGTAACTGTATTCCACCAGGCCCAGATTCGTTATGGGAGGAGAAACCTACATTCCCGCTGTCAGCTAAGCTGTGCAATCTGCCAGTTGACCCTGGTCAAAGCACCCACTTTCAGCCTTGGGAAGAACAGGAAGAACTGTCTCTCAAGACATTATTGTTTCCTGGCCAGCGAGATAAGGGTTGGAAAGAACTTGAAAACGAGGCATGCCGAACAGACCACAGAATGTGGGAGTCAGTGGGAGAAGCAGCTCAGTGGAACGAGCCAAGCTCACAAGAGCCTTGCTGCTGTGTGAGTCAACACAAACCCCGGATGTAACTGCCTCACAACAAAGTAGAGCAGTGGGGCTGCCAGCAGTTCTACTCTATGAGAGTTAATGCCGTTTGAGCCCCATGATGCACCCCAGCAATTCCGCTTCTGGGGGGAACCTAATGGTGCAACATACTGAAAAGAACAGCACACAAGGCTGGGGGGAGAGGTCATCTCAAGATCAATGGGCCAACCAAGTAGGTGGGTATCCGTTGGTGGAGTTCCTCAGCAAGAGTGCTTGGGGGCACAAGTAGAGTACAGTGGTACCTCAGGTTACATACGCTTCAGGTTACAGACTCTGCTAACCCAGAAATAGTATCTTGGGTTAAGAACTTTGCTTCAGGATGAGAACAGAAATCGTGCTCCAGCGACGCGACAGCAGCAGGAGGCCCCATTAGCTAAAGTGGTGCTTCAGGTTAAGAACAGTTTCAGGTTAAGAACGGACCTCCGGAACGAATTAAGTACTTAACCCGAGGTACCACTGTATTTCACAGGTGTGGAACCAGCCAAGACCTGATAAAGACTGCACAGAACACCTTCTCCTGGAGTTTCATTGCCCTGACATGCTGTAGTCATTGACAAGCCAAATGTGGGTGCAGAAACCACCTTGGGTGCCAATCCACAAAGTCACTTTGTGTGGCTCTTGGGCGGTCAGTCACTATTCCATATGCATATGGATTTTGTGAAGATGACAAATTGGGACTGTATACCAGAAGGACTACAGAAGTGATAAACAAGAGCTCCAGCAGTCTAAGCACCAGCAATCTGAAGGTGGTTTGACTTCTCTCTCCCTGCTGATTAAACAGAGACTGCCAGACAATCCACTTGAGTCAGGTCTTGGCAGAATGGGTGGAGTGAGATCCCTGAAAGACCCACAAGGCTTCCTTTCAGGGGCGCAGGAGGCATGAATCTCTGTTCAGTTGCCTTTGACTGGGCTGCACAAATGGCCAGAAACCTCTACCAGCCTCTTAGGAGGCAAAGGGAAGAAAATGAGCAGCAGTAGCAGCTACAGTATGTAACAGGGAGAGCACATCTACCCCTCAAGGGTCTTTGCAAGCTTCCTCCTCCCTCGGAGTACAGGCACAGGTTCAACGCATGTCTTAGCAGCTAAATCGGCATTCCTGCGATCTGTTCCTATGAACTATGCCAAGCATTGTGGAGGCGAGGGAGACTTGAGGTAATGACTCTCCTGGACTTCCCTGCTCCCAGAAGCTAATCTGCAGTCCCTGCTTAGCTTCCCCCACCATTCTATGGGCTGCCTTCATTGGGGTGCCCATGCTCACTGCTAAGTGTGCACACCAGTAGTTGAACAGAACTCGTGACAAGGGAGGTGGCCCCTTGTGCAACACCCACCCCACCAGCCCCCTGGCACAACACACATCAGCTCCAGTAAATACCTGAGGCATTTGCTGTCCACCCAAAGGAATGGTGCTTGGAGGCGTGGCAGAGACAGCGGTGGTAGGCGGGAACCGTGGTCTTATTTGCATCCCACCTCGGGCCATAGTTGCGGTGATCATCTTGGGAGGACAGAGGGACAGACAAAAGTAATCGCAACACAAGAAACGCAGCACACCGGCAGGATGAGAAGCACATGCAGCCTCCGAGGAGGAGGTGGAAGTCAAGCGAACTAGTCTTAGGAAGGCAACCCTGCAGCAGTCTCTGGCTTGGGAGACACAACACTTGCACTCCTGACTGGCTCTGTCAGAGAACTCTGGGGTGAGTGGGTGGATGTGGGGAGCTAGAGTCCAATTAAAGGGAAACAATTAAGGGGGGGGATTCAGCTGCACATCAGCTGTATCAAGGCCTTCTAATGGGATGCCAAACCTAGAAGAGGAAATTGACATCTCCACTGACCCACCTGGACACACAGCACCAGTCTGTATTAAGCTCTGATTTAAGGTCCAGGTGTGACATGGGCAGATTTGACCAGAGTTTTCTCATCTGCAAACTATATGGCTCAGCCGGAACCAGCCAAGCCAGTGGAAGATGCTTTGGTCCCATCTCCTGCCCAATTCCTGACCCTCAGGGGAGTCCTTAAGACTAGCCCAGACCTTGGGGGATGGGGGAAGAATGATGACAGGCAACTGCATTTAGTGCTTCATGTAAATGGACCTGCAGCAGCCACAGCAACAACGTGTCTTGAAAAAAAGTCATAGAGCTCAAAGTTGCTAACAAAAAAGTTAGGAACACAAACAGAAACACACATGAAACAAGGAGAAAGGAAATCACAACTCAAGAACAGCAAAACTTTGCACAGCTGTTAGTTCATGGCAGAGCAATCAAGCCCCCTCCCCCTCCCCCAGCCTGGGGCAGTGACGGATGGTCAAAGAGGCTTTTCGGAAGAGAAAGGAATGAGGGGAGGCCAGACAAACCACATGCGCATGTCCAACACACACAGCATGCAAAAGCCGCCACAGCAGGGGAGGCCAAGGCCAAGCACCACACAACAGCAGAAGCAGCTTCCCAACAGAGGCGGATGCGCCACAGAGAATGGAGGGTGAGCCATGGCGGGCATGGGTGGTGGCGGCGGCAGCAGCAGCAAGACCGGGGGTGGGCAGCTGACAAAACGTGCTCCTCCTCCAGGCATTCCTCCACATTCAGAGCCACACAGGCGCCAGCAGGCTCAACCGAGGGACCACCGTGGGCCGGGGCCTCCTGCCACACCACCAAAGGGAAGACTGTTGGAGCCACGGCCTCCAAAGGCTCCTCCTAAGACCCAGCAGGAGAGTCGAACCGACTGCGAAGGCAGCACCATGACTTCAGGAAGCTGAACTTGCCAAGAACTCCAGACTGCAGCACACATACACCCCCAAGGCAAAAGCGGTTTGTGGAGATGGGGGGAGGCTGAGAAAGAGCTACTCTGGCACAGTAAAGGTGTTAGAAATGTAGAGTTGGAAGGGTCCATGAGGGTCAACTAGACCAACCTCCTGCAATGCAGGAGTCTTTTGCCCATCATGGAGGTTGTACCCACAACCCTAATATTAGGAGTCTTGCGCTCTTCTAACTTGTTTGGGTTTTTCCCCTCTAGGAAGTGCCTCTTGTATTTCAAATGAGAGAGAGTGCACAGGCATCACCAGCGCAGAGCTTCCGAATTCCCAGGAACAACTCGTAGGGAGGATTTCCTCCCCCACCTCTTGAGGACTTCTTAAACTTATGGAAGAAGTTTAAATTGTACACAGGTTCAATTTCCGGGACGGTTATTCTGCGTATATCCCTCCTCTTACAGATTCAATCCCCCCCTTCCCCCTCCCCCAGCAAAAAATAAATAAAATCAAGAAAATGGAAGTATCAGCTTCTAACCTCTCACTCCTAGCGGGTTTTGAGGCATGAAGCTATAACCAAGATGTGGATCCAGACAGCATCTTGCTCCAGCAAAAAAGCACAAGAGTGGAGTGGAATTCAGCTCCAGAAGCCACTGGATGTGGATGACCGTCCTTGAGGATCGAGGGCTCACATCCTCACAAAACACTGAAAAGGCCTGAACTAGAGGGCTGCCTCCAGCAGCCCACAATCCAGAGGAGAAAGTCTGTGTAGAAGAGCCGCCTCATGCGATTGGCTGCCCTTCGCTCAAGGCTTCCTCCCACACAGCACCACCAGGAGGGCTCTTTGAATGATGATAAGGGAAGGGTTCAGGGAAGCAGTATGGTAAATAAATCCTAACTGCATTTCTAGGAGAAAGGGCAGGCAGGCAGCAGTTGCCTCCCGATCTAAATGGGAGTTGAAGCTCCACTCCAAGAAGTAAGAACTGCCCCCTTGCCAGGCATCAACAAGCAAGACGCTGGAGAGACTACCAGAAAAGTCAGGAAGAGATTTGATTTGAAAACCACAGACACCCATAAAGGACAGAGAAAAGATCCAGGGCTAGGCATTTCCTTGGTTAAAGCAAGTTGCTTGTTGTATTAGAGACTAGTCTGACTGATCCAACCTCCACAAGGTCCAGATTGCCATCAGCTTCTCTCTAGGTGTCTTCATGTGCATGACATCTCCTTGGCAGGCTGGAGAAGCCAACCCTAGTTTGGGCATGGCCAACAGCCACAATAACCAATTATGCCCCCCTAAATCAGGTGTGGGGTATCTCTGGCCCTTGAGATGTTGATGAACTACAATTCCCATAATCTCTGGCCAACGACCATGCTTGCTAGCCGGGTCAATAGTTCCCCACACCTGCCTTGGACGATGTCATTGAGGCTGGTCCCCTAGGCCTTTTCACCCTGGAGCAACTGGTAACAGCCACCATTTGTCAGAATGGCGCGTGCCAGCCAGAAAGAACACCCCAGCTCCCACCATAGATAACCATTCCCAAAGGCATTAGCTGACCATATCCTCAGCACACAATCAAGGACTTCCTCGTAGTCTTTGCGACTGCCAATACCACAGTATTAACTGGCCAGAGGCCAGGTCAGTTGGGAAATGTTGGTTCGTTGTGTTTGGAAAGCTGCTTTGTGCAAGCCCAGTAGTTTTCACACAAGCTTGGCTTGCTCCCATCCTCTAGCCCATCAATTCCCAACGAGCGAAAGATGAGGTGAGCCAGAGAGGGAA